CGCTTGCTTCATGATGCAGTTTGATGATTTCCTCAATATATATATATATACATATATATATATATATCTTATCCACTTACAACGTCGTTTTCTTATATCCTATTCAGATGGAAATTTGTTTGTTCTCCCCCACGGTACAATAGGCTGTTGTTGATGGTATCCGACCAACGGATATTCAGCATTTTGTGTAGACAATTGCTTGTAAATACTTGTGTGTTTTAGATGACGGTTGTGGTGGTTTTCGAAACTTCAGTTCCGTACAGTTGAACTGTCTTGACGTTCGCATTAAAGATCGTGACTTTTATGTTGGCTGACAGTTGTTTTGAGTTTCATAAGTTCTTCAACTGTATGAATGCTGTCCTTGCTTTGCTAATATTTGCCTTTACGTCTGCATCGGATTCTCCTTGCTGTTTCCTCAGTTTTACATTGCTTCTATAGCTTCACTTTCATCATGATAACTACCAGAGGGTGATCTGAAGCTATATTAGCTCCTCTCTCACGGTTCTCACATCTTCCATCGACCTTATGAATTTTTTTACTTTTGCAAATATGATTGATCTGATTCTCTGTAGTGGGATCCGGTGATACCCATGTAGCTATATGCATTCGTTTGTTGTGGAATATTATGCCACCTATAACCCTTGTGTTGAATGCACATAAATTTCCAAAGCGAGTACTTTGAAAACCTGATAATAATTTACACCAATAATATGTTATTCGGAAACTCAGAAACCGTATTTATCCCCATATCCTCATCTATAAGTCATACTCCCGGTGTGTATTATCTGAAGAAACTATGCAGATGTTTAAGTTATAGAAGGCTAAAACAGATTAGGATGTGACATATACTGGTTGAAAGTCTAGTCATTTAACTGTTCAACCACCACGTGACGTAATTCACGATTCGTAACAACGAAAATATTGCAAATATACTATCCACTCATGCTATTTATCATTGTATAGCATGATTTCTTTTGGTAATTGTCAGGAGATTTAGTCTTTACCTACGATGGATTGAATTATTCTTTGAATTCAAAATTGATCTTGAAAATTGAGGATAAAGACTGCTGGCTAGCAATGAATTTTACACGGCCGAATAAGACTGAACTAAAAGCGAAATCCGGCAGCAGACCAATACTTGAGTAAGTTCAGTAAATTTTTATTGCTTATTCTTATCTCTAAGATAGACATCTTATTTTAACTAAACAATTACTGATCAGTCATATTATATTTACACTAGTCGACTGATAAATAGTAATTAATTTTATATAGTCTGGTTCTTAGTAGTGAACGAAATCTAAAAACTAAGTTACAATGTACCCATCACATTGTCATTAGATATTACCATATTAAATACTGAAAGCAGTCACATAGAATCCATCGTCCTTTATGTTGATTGAAATTCATCAACAATGCATATCTTCTATATTTGCGAATTCAATGGACACCATGAGATTTGAACCAACAACTCAGACGTTACCATTCAGAAGTTCCTGATATCATATATATGTGTGAGCTAGACAAATTGGATAAAAGGTAAATGTCACCAAGTGTAAATAAATAAACTATGAATCAAATGAGAACATGGTTATGATACCTATAAATAAACTATGAGTTGGAATTATTTAAATTTCAATCACTGAGACTATTTCAAATATAATTTTTTCACATATAATGAATTCTCTATACTCGGCGCGCAATTATTGTCAAACTATTCGTTCTAACCTTGACGAGTATTCGTATAAACTATGAGTTAGCTTATGACGGGATTCAAGTTTCACATTCCAGTCACAATGTGTATACACTACTGATTATTTATCAAAACCGGTATGCTAATCTGGTCTTGAAATAATGATAAAAATTATGATCAATTTCTTCCCTACTTATTATTACAACAAATTAGCCGAATGATCATTGATGCATAGCTTTGAATAGGTAAAGAAGGAAAATCAAGTTATTGAGTCCTCCGTAAATTCACCAATTAATTAATATTATCCATCAGTACATGCAGTGGGAGTATTTATTAAAATATACTGATTTGAAATACAACATTTTCATATTTGATGTAGGTTTGTTCTCTGAGCTGGATGGTTTGGTCCAGCTCAGAGAACAAACCTACATCAAAATCATCCACCTGAGCTACAAATCTGCTCTACCATCTCAACATTTTGATATGTTTATTTCATTGAATATTAAATATCATCAGATAGATTTTGATATGAAGTTATCTTTCTTTCAGGGATTGTAAACATCAATAGCAGAATACACCAACACATTAATCAAAATTAAAGGAGAGGAATTCAAACTAGGGAATAAACATTTAGTTTCTGCTTTTTTATGGTCGAATTTTCTGATCTTTTCTTTGTGTAGAATACATTTTTTACGATAATTCTTGAGTGTTAACAGTTAAGTAATCACACCGGGTGTAAGGTAGTTAAAAATCACATTAAAAGATAGTTACGAGATATGGCATATTAATTGAAATTAGAAATGTAAACCCGTAGTTGCATGCTCAGACATCTAGAAGTTAAGCATCTGCTGAAAAACCTGAAGGTTCAGAGTTCCATCCCTGATGAGATTGTGAGCATGCACTTCTAAATAGTCCGATGCTAGGTTGAAGTATCTGTCCATTGAATCCTGGTTTTCAGTGGTTGTCCGAATAAGGGCATTCTTTGATTGCTTGACAGTCCCAATCCTATAAATTGTTTAGATGAATTATCAACTTAATTTAGAGAGCAAAATTGTGAATACTATGATATCAAATATTGCTATCTTAATATTATGGGGACAGTAAAAGACTCAGCTTACAAGTTACAGAAGGATTCAGTGGAATATGGGTACATATAACGAAACATATTAGTTTAATTGTTATACAACTGATAATCGGATTAGAAATCTACCAAAAAAGAACTCGAAAACGAACTGTTTTCATTGATGAAGAAAATGGTTAAGGAGTTGTTAGTTAACTGTAATTTAAGAAAATTTTGTACAAAAGACACAAAATATTAAATCTAGCTTTAAATTTACGCCAGAATATTGATAAATTATGTACCCTGTTGTGTATTCGATATAACATAATATTTTGGAGTTAACAAAAAATAGTAACAGAATGGACGATGGGTTATGGGTTATGTAACCAAAAAAGGCCTGTGTTATGTTTTGCCCAATCTATAAGTTAATGATCAATCAAAGGCTTTATTGATTTTATATCAATAAACCAACTAATTTACTACAATTATTGACCAATCTTTTATTTCGCTTGTATTGGAGTTATTTTTAAACGAAACTACTGACGTTACTTAGTGAAGTAATCAGTCAGTAGTTCTGACGATGCAATGTTCCTACTGGAAAAAGCAGAGTTTGTTCACAAGATAAAATTTAAATTGGTCTTCTCTATGCTACTATGTTGTATGAAGTTGTCGTAGCAAAATTAGGGGATGAGAAAGACCTTATAAATATCCTGCTTTTAGCAAATCACCACACCGTTTTCATTTCTCTATATTTGAAAAAGTTGTCAAGTTCATGATATAATATATATCTGGAGATTATAGAACCGTACACCAAACATTACCATACACATATTTCTAAATAACGGTTTTACCAGTAAATTGTTATTGGAAGGTGGTCTATTTCAGCGAGACTGACTCTGTGATAACAACTCAAGTAGTGAGTTCCCAGGAAATGCATTTTAGAAATTGTCTCTTCAACCTTCAGTCAGCTTATGAAGCGCATTGTACCTCAAATGAAACCGATCAGATAGAAGTCACATGAAAGTTCTACAGTTTATTAATAATATATCGGTCTTTTAACGTGCAGGGAGAAGTTGATTCTGGATATTGTACTGGCTATTACATTATCAACAGGCAAATACTTTTAGGATAAGCTGTAAACCCTAAGAAGCTGAGTTAATTTCTATTTCCCAATCCCTGATATTTACTGTAAATCTTTAGGTCAAGATGACCTAAAGATGTGTTATATTTACTGCCTACAAACCTCTACGTTTAAAGATGTATAGTTCATAATACCTGAGAAACTTTATGTCTATAACAGAGGCATCTGACATGAATATTTCATCACTGTGGATATCGACTTACAACTTTATCATACCCTAATAATTCAGCCATATCTGATCATTCATAACCAATAGACAACATAATACTGGTTTAGATAGATCAGACATGGAAGTTGGTGTACGAACAACACAGTGTAGCAAAGACAAATCTCAAATAACATAAATATTCTTTCTAACCTAACTAATCTAGTTCACTAAAACTAATTAAAAATAATAGGCAACAATATTGGAAATATATTTCGGTTGCTAAACTAGTTTCCAAAAAAACAACAGGAGAATAACAAGTCTCAATTTAAAATTAAAAAAAAGCAGGGAGATGGGGGAAACTTAAATCAACTTGATTGTGCAAAATCAGCATAATTAATCATCTGTTTTTTTTCTTTAATATTCAACCAATTGCAGATATTCCTGCTTAAAAATAAATTGTCATCATAGAGGTGCTTTTATTTTTTTTAAAAAAGGAGATCCAATTATTGTAATAAGAAACAAATGCACATAATTGAACCATCGTGTAAGAAAGCAAAAAGGAAAGTGGGAAATGCAAATTTTTTTTTAAAAAAAAAAGATGCGATATTTACATAGAGATAATAAAATGTCTAACTGAAATCATATACATATCAAAGAAAGCAAAAGAATATAAATGAGTATAAATTAGTGTCAGAAAGCAATCTATACAAACTAAACAGAAATATATCACTTAGTCACATAGTCACATGTAACAACGTATTATCAGTACAGATATGTCTCCGCATAGCAAACAGATTAACATGTAAGGTATATACAGTATACAATTGAAATGTTAACGTCAACAGGACAGTTAAGGAACGTGAAACACCAAAATTTTAAAGGAAAACCGACGAATTTACATATTTGTAAAATGAAAGAGTAATATTTTCTACATTGATGATAATGTCACGAGTATATGAAATTAATGGACTGAAGATGACTGGCCAAAAGGAAGAACACATATACCAACCCATCCTTCATGCGCAATTAATGAAGGTCCAGATGACCATTTCCAATCAGCGAAAGGATTAGAAGAAGATGAGATGACGGAGGATAGTGTGGAAGTCCCACCATTACAATTGACTTTAACTGAAGCGGACGGAATAGATGGTTTATGACTAATTAGCTTAGGTTTTGAGTTTTCTAGAGTCATAGTTTTCTGGAAGGGAGGAAGAAAAGAGTAAAAGAAAATCACCAAGCGATAAGATATAACATATGGGAAACAAATAGGTATGTTAAACTTTTTAATAAATAACAACTATAATACACAAATTAATCTCAGTTACACGGAAATGACATTATTTATGAATTCATTCCCCAGGTGTACTTAGTTATGATGAACTAAACTCTAGGTGTTAGAGTTAATGATACTATCCGGTTGCTGAAAAAAAGTAGGTGTAGTGAAGTGTTCGAATCTGGAGAATACATGTAGTGGCTGGTAGCATGTTAAGCCTAAAAGGTTATTCTAGCTTCTGGACAGACCAATCTATTCATTCTACTCAAACCATATCTTGACCTTGTCGTTGATTCGCTTATTAATCTAGACAGCTTCTCATGTGACCGTATGTGTGTTAATTGCTTACCCAATTCATCACATGTCTGTAAGTTATTTTTGGTCTAAATGTTGAATCACGCATGATTACATCGAGTTGATTCAATCATCTTCTTCACTGCGCGTCGTCTCGTCTCGCTTCGCCGTATCCTCTTCGCTTAGTTTCCCTGATTGTCTGTGCAGATCAATGAGTGTACGGGAGATTCGTATTCAAATTTCAATCTCGTATTTGATTTACTCAGTTCCGCTGTTCTCTGACGCGAATTGAGTCGAGAATTACAATGCTGAAATGTATATTTCAATAACAATTACATGATCTAAATGGAGTCAGATACAAGGCCAACAGTGATCATATGGTGGCTTTAATATACATGTGAACCATGATATTAAAGCCAACGGTTGCCCAAGCACTGTTAACTTTCGAACATCATCTTCACTAGGAAACATCGTCCGTTGGGGTAACCGGTGTTTGGACATACATAACACATTTCCTAACAACCTGAGTTGGTGAATTCATACTAACTCATTTATCAATTTGTCACCCTTATCTATTACTCTGCATCTGACCTCAGAATTGCTAATTCGTTGGTCCCAACATCCACGAGCAATGTTTCGAAGGCATCTATGATCGAATACTAGCAACCTGTGAATTTCCTGTATTTTAAAGCCGCGTTTCATAGCCATGAAGTAGAACGGAGTGAACTGAAGCATTGTATACTGATCCTTGATTTGATAAATATCCTGCATACGACACGATTGATTCAAGTTGACAAACGCCGATCGAGCCTTCTGAATTCGTGATGAGATTTCTCCAAACACCAGACCATCAGCACTAATAGCCCTTAATCTGACTGCAGTTAGTACGAATGAATGCTATCGAAATATACATATCGTCAATCCTCGTATATAATTATCGGCTTAATCCACGTTAGTGAATAACGGAACGAAATAAACAAAATACGACAATGGGTTTTTGAATGCGTATATTTTGTACACTCATTGATTTGAACAAACAATCAATGGGGCAAAGGGAAGAAAGCGAAGCAGATTGGAGAAGGCAAATGAGCCAACTCGATTTAATCAAGCTTCAATCAATATTTATAGCCAAATTAAAATAAGCTACATTGTCGAGGATATCAAATCCCCAGAACTTACTTGATAAGTGGCTTAATTTTGTAATTTTATTTTGAAAATTTGAATTTAACTGTTTTCGCGCCAAAAGCGCTCTTTTTACCTTCACGTCATATTTCCCACTTGTAAACTATCTTAAACGCTATTGGTCCATTGTTTCTTTGTGTGTGCAATTTATTAATGATGCCCAATGACAATTTGATGCTGTATATATACGCTTGACTTTTTCCCTTATTTGATTGCTGTGCTTCTGGCTGTTACGGAATATAACTTCCCCGCTTCCAACTTCGACTTCTTACTCTAGTTAGCTGGGTCTGGGTCGCGTCAGAATAGCTAGCTTATCGGTCTCTGGTCACAAGTCTTTGTTCCGTTCGCTACTAGTGAATTCGTAACGCTTCAGATATAACATACATATATGTGATGAATAAGATAGGAAATGCACACACGCTCTTACATTAGAACGGTCAAGATTGACAGGCAAACAATTACCAAGGTCAAAATGAAGCTTGACGAAAATGGATAAGTTGGTTTGCCCAGAAGCTAGAATAACCTATGTGGGCTCGATATAGAACCAGGCACCACAACTCCTAAAATAGGTGAATTGGTCGACCCGCTCTACTAATTCACTCTCTATTATCAGTCCAGGCGTTGACGTAAACTAGTCCTGAGACAAAATTCCGCATCTGTAAGGAGAGGATCGCATCTCAAACACGATTACATTGTACCTCAAGGTGGTCAAAATACGACATGTTGTAAGCATCTCCATCAAATAGAACTACGTCACCAGAGTTCTTTATGTTAACAAATGAATTTCCGAGTAGACGAACCATTGGAAAGTAAAACGACGTGAGAGTTATCTTTAAACGAATGTTGATGATGAAGGTAAATAAAAATGAAGAAAGTGGACAACTCTGATGAACACCGCTTGAGGTTGACAATTCTGATGACATTTACCCCATAAGCTCCAACTTGATCAGTGATGTTCAGGTTGTACAAGATTGATGTACTTCTTTGATACGCCTTTCAATGAAAAACTGTCACAGAACCTTTAGATCAACAAAGCCAAGCCCTTCTCTTATATTTATGTGTGTATGAATATAATTGCGAAATAAATATAAGTGGGAAATTCTTTGATAGGGTTATGTATCTTCATGGATTATGATGGCTGAAATACGTGGTATACAAGCATCACGTAATGTTGGTCAGCATAAAAATAGAATGGCATAACCATAGTTCATAAATTTAATGATTAATGAATTGAGTCTTGCTGAATTATGTTCCACTAAGTAATCATAACCAATAGTTGAAGCACTTATGTAACATGGCTTCTTCCAAGCCTGGAAATGCAAACAAATGGAATTCACATAATCTGTCCAATTAGCACGCTAACTGAAGTCAAAAACATTTCCATTTTACAAGATCACAGGCATACCCTTCAAAATACTTCTCATCTTCATAATTACAATTTCCCCGTCATCTAATTTTCTGCTCCACAAAACAATCAATGAAGTCCTCATATTTAAGAGCTTCATCATTCTACCTTCTTGCTACGTTTGCGCGAACCTACAATTTTTCTTAAATCCGTTAGTTAACAAGCTATCCAGAGATCAAAAACACGGAAAGTCATAAACGTTCAGTATTTTTTCATCAACACAGTCGTTTTCGAATCGCATAATCCTTGCATTCTTTAGGTCCCTCACTAAAACCTATAATCTGTTTGGAAAGAGAAAATTCTTAAAGAGTTATCTCGGTGAACATCCTTTTACATGTTATGCACTTTCCGGATTTTCCCAAATTTTCATCAAAAAAGCCCAATGGTTTGTTGTATAAGTTTGTGGAGATCGTCGAGTTTCATTTAAATCATGAACCGATCAATCTTAGACCACCATTGAAAACTTGGAAGCACTGATTTCAACAATTCCAATAAAACAAATAATCAAATTGAAATTACAAAAATTATAAACAACTTTTACCCGATTTTGTGTTGTTCCAACAAATGTAACCGCTTCAGATGAGTTGCATGAGGAAATAGACTCAAAATCAGAGTTCATAGAACATGGATGATGATTACAAGAAATACCATCATCATTATTATCGTCATCATCACCATCAACATGATTGTTATAATTGTCAGAAATATTAGGTTTATTCAATAAATTAGACAATGTATTACATTTTGATTGTAAAACATTACTTGATAATGCATAGGGATTTTGTTTAATAGGAGATTTGAAACATTCAACTGTTCGTAGATGAGCACTACCATCATAACCACCTAAGTAGAAAGTGTTTTGATTGAAAATGAAACAATCTTATTGACTCGTACTAGAATATTCTAGATAAAATAGTGGTTCATAAGATAAATAACGAATTGGTGGATAGACCCATTGACATGATTCAATTAGTTAAAAGTTGAATAGGTAATTTATTAAATCACACAATTTATAATGCAATTTTACCACAAATTATTAAAATGAATATTTGTTTATTCCGATGAATATAGCCATAAAAATTGACCACGGAGACTAGGAAATAACTGTAAGCAACAAACTTCCTTCATTTTACCATAGAGCTTGTGGAGGTTATTGGATTTTATAGTTTACACCAAAGATCGATATTAGTTACGAAATGATTGAGAACCGATAAAAACTGGAGAACTGTTTTGTGTTGGTATGGCATTCTACAGCAATGAGCATTTATGTGCCCACCAGGGATGGAATTCAGAAACATGTAGACCATTGGATGCTGACTCACTAGTCCAGCATCAAGACCTGAAAGACCTAGGTTATGTCATTGATGGGGTTGTGGGTGTTCACTACTGAAACATCTCATACTAGGAGGAGACAGTCGTCCAGTTTTACTCGTTCTCAAAATTCGTCTAATTGATGTCAACTTATCAAATTCATCGAATTCCCTCGTTTACTGGAAAACAAATAGTATGCAGTTAGAAAAAATATTTACTTTTGCTCGTTTTTGCGTATACTATACACTGTTTCATTCCTTGATTTCATTTGCTTCTTTTGAAATATACTTTTTAACATTTACTTATTCCACCACAACTAGTATTTCTACTTTGGTCTTTACCTTTTTTCATTGCACTAATTTCTCTTCCAGATATTCTAATATGAAATTAAATAACCCGTACCTATTCCTATTTGTCCCGAATCCTACTTCTATATTTATGACTCATGACTGACTGGTTGGCAATCCATGAAGTAAATAACTTTCTACCATATAAAGACAACTCTCTACAACTGTAAACACATCCATCACATTAAAATAATGAACAGTAATATGTTGACCACAAAAAAGAAACCATTTCAATGGTGTTTCATCATTGATATTAGTCAATAACTTGATAACCATGAACAGGTTTACGCATTCACTTTTGAGCATAACTTTGTGCATGGAGACTGGTACTGCTACCTGAATGATAATGTAAATGGAAAGGAGTTTGAATCTTCCGGACTAATGACTGAAAGTCAACTGCCTAAGCACTAAATCATAGATCCAAGATCGAAGTACATATGAACTACGACGCTTACATTTACACACATTATTATTAACAACAACAACGTGTCACCAGCTACGATATTATACTCAAGCCATCGAAAAAAACATGGCTCACCTATTGCATACAAACAACCCGCAGTTACAGCCAATCCAACTCGAGAACGAGGAACTGACAAAGATGAAATTTCAGTCCATTGACCATGTAAACCATTACGATCTGGACCAGTTGTAGGATCGAACATTTCAACACTTTGTAGGAATGAAGCACCATCATAACCACCGGCAACAATTATACGATCACGAAACGCAGTCGAGCCATGTCGACATCGCCGATGTAACATACTAGCTACTGAATACCATACATTAGTAGGATTTTGACGAATACCATTATTCTGATGATCATTTTCGAAACGAGAGGATGGAAGTGTTCTACGTAAATCTCCACCTTTTTCATAGCATTCAACTGTCGAAAAAACAGCTAAACCATTGTGTCCACCAATAGCATAAAGACGACCATTGAGAGCAACAAGACCACCAGCGGATCTGGGTTCATTCAAGCTTGATATTAACTTCCATCTAAAGAAAATAAACCAATCAAATAAGAAGCTTTAAGAAGTAACGTCATAATATAAGTGAGACTGTTTTATGCAAAGCATGCGCTAGATAATAAACAATTTTCAGTTTTTAAAGTACTTAGTATTACTTAGGTTAAATTCCTTAAAAACTGTGTCTAACCTAACAATTACCGATAGATACTAAGTTTCGGCTTGTAGGAACTCCTACTAATCAAAATCAAACAAACTCAGTGTACTACCGAACAATATACATTATCATTGATCATTCTATTATTAGTTTGCATGTTAAACAGCTAATCATCATGGTCCTGCTTTAGGCTAAGCCGTTTACAGTAAAAACCAGTCTACTAATATTTTTTTAAAGCCACAAAGCAAAATGACACAAATGTCAGTCTCAGGGGAATCACACAATTTTTGGACGTTATAGATGTGGTTTATTGATAACGGATAATAAACAAGAAATAAGGATCCATAACTTCTTGTGTATTGAAAACGAACTATGGAAAACCAAGTTGTTTGTTGCATCATAGTGATAATTGTGCATTTTTTTAACTCGTTTATCAGGTATAGGTTTATGTACTTGAGTCCGAGTTAAACAAAGCTTAAAGGTTAGTGATACTATTCCGTTGCCTTTACTGAAATAGGTGAAGTCGAGATTCAAACCTGAGACTTAGTGGTCGAACTTTGAACACCATAACTATTTAGCCACATCTTCCCAGTACCTTAATATAGATAACAAGTCTGAATACCATGAATAATGTAATTACGTCAACTTGATCAAGTATAACTCCGTCTGTAGCTCCTCTGGGGGTTACTGCCGGTCCCAAGCCCACACAAAGGAGGAGGGTTGGGCATGGGGTTAGCGACCCCATCCCGTAGAAAACCAACTCGCTAAAAAAACGCTAACCAGAAAAAATCATTCAGACCATTTAAACTCTGCCATGGGAGTAGAAAAAATAATTATGACGTCTCATGATGAAAGCCGAGTTCCTTCGGAAGTCATGAGGCCGATGCACCTTCTTACAACCAGAGCGACAATTTTTATAGGTACATGGAATGTCCGGACAATGTGGGAGACCAGAAGATCCTTCCAAATTGCTGCAGAAATGAGAAAATACAACCTGGAAGTGCTTGGAATCAGTAAAACACATTGGACGCAGGTTGGACAACAACGACTGTCTTCAGGAGAACTTCTGTTATACTCCGGTCATGAAGAAGAAAATGCCCCACATATACAAGGAGTTGCATTGATGCTGTCCAGAAAAGCACAAAATGCACTAATTGGATGGGAATCTCATGGACCAAGGATCATCAAAGCCTCGTTCAAAACAAAGAGAGAGGGCATTACAATGAACGTCATTCAATGCTATGCGCCTACCAACGACTACGATGAAGACGCTAAAGAACAATTCTACGATAGGCTGCAGTCGATCTTCGAGAAGTGCCCAACCAAGGACCTGACCATTCTGATGGGGGATTTCAATGCCAAGGTTGGAAAGGACAACACTGGATACGAAGACGTCATGGGACAACATGGACTGGGAGAAAGGAACGAAAATGGTGAGAGATTTGCAAACCTATGTGCCTTCAATAAACTGGTCATAGGTGGCACCATATTCCCACACAAAAACATACACAAAGACACTTGGATTTCACCGGATCACACTACACAGAATCAAATCGACCATGTCTGCATCAACAAAAAGTTCAGGAGGACGATGGAGGATGTGAGAACCAGAAGAGGAGCTGATATAGCATCCGATCATCATTTGCTGGTCGCCAAGATGAAACTAAAACTCAAGAAGCACTGGACAACGGTGCGGACAACATCACAAAAGTTTAACACGGCCTTTCTTCGAGATGCTGACAAACTCAACAAATTTAACATAGCCCTCAGCAACAGGTTCGAAGCCTTTCATGATCTACTCAATTGAGAGGGACTACCCTGGAGAGCAACTGGAAAGGTATCAAGGAGGCAATCGTTTCAACATGTCAAGAGGTTCTGGGCCAAAAGAAGCACCAACACAAGGAATGGATCACTGATGGTACACTGGATAAAATTAAAGACAGGAGGAACAAGAAGGCAGCAATCAACACCAGCCGAACCAGAGCGGAAAAAGCCAAGGCACAAGCCAAATACACAGAGGCAAACAAGCAAGTGAAGAGGAGCATCAGAACCGACAAACGTAAATATGTGGAAGATTTAACAACGACAGCAGAAAAGGCTGCAAGAGAGGGAAACATGAGACAACTGTGTGATACAACAAAGAAACTTGCTGGAAATTACAGGAAGCCAGAAAGACCAGTGAAAAGCAAGGAAGGCAAAGTAATCACCGACATTGAAGAACAACGAAACAGGTGGGTAGAACACTTCAAAGAACTCTTGAATCGACCAGCTCCACTGAACCCACCCAACATCGAAGCAGCACCCACAGACCTCCCAATCGATGTTGGCCCATCAACAATTGAAGAGATCAGAATGGCCATTAGACAAGTCAAGAGTGGCAAAGCAGCGGGACCAGACAACATCCCGGCAGAGGCACTGAGAGCAAATGTAACAGCAACTGCCAAGATACTCCACATCCTCTTCAGTAAGATTTGGGACGAAGAACAAGTACCAACAGACTGGAAAAAAGGACTTCTGATCATTATACCAAAGAAAGGCGATCTGAGCAAGTGCGACAACTACAGGGGCATCACTCTCCTTTTAATACCAGGAAAAGTCTTCAACAGAGTATTGTTAAACAGGATGAAGGATTCCGTGGACGTCCAATTTCGAGATCAACAAGCTGGATTTCGTAAAGATAGATCGTGCACAGATCAAATCGCAACTCTACGTATCATTGTGGAACAATCAATCGAATGGAATTCATCACTCTACATCAACTTCATTGACTACGAGAAGGCATTTGATAGTGTGGACAGGACGACACTATGGATGCTTCTTCGACACTACGGCGTGCCTGAGAAGATAGTCAATATCATACGGAACTCCCATGATGGACTAAACTGCCAAATCGTCCACGGAGGACAACTCACCGACTCGTTTCAAGTAAAGACTGGTGTTAGGCAAGGTTGCTTACTCTCACCCTTTCTCTTTCTCCTGGTGATCGACTGGATTATGAAGACGTCAACATCTGGAGGAAAGCACGGGATACAGTGGACAGGCAGGATGCAGCTTGACGACTTAGACTTCGCGGATGATCTGGCACTTCTATGACAAACGCAACAACAAATGCAGGAGAAAACGACCAGTGTAGCAGCAGCCTCAGCAGCAGTAGGTCTCAATATAAACAAAGGGAAAAGAAAGATTCTCCGATACAATACAATATGCACCAATCAAATTACACTTGATGGAGAAGCTTTGGAGGATGTGGAAACCTTTACATATCTGGGCAGCATCATTGATGAACACGGTGGATCAGATGCAGATGTGAGGGCGCGGATCGGCAAAGCAAGAGCAGCATACCTACAGCTGAAAAACATCTGGAGCTCAAAACAATTGTCAACCAACACCAAGGTTAGAATTTTCAATACAAATGTCAAGACAGTACTTCTGTATGGAGCGGAGACGTGGAGAACTACGAAAGCCATTATCCAGAAGATACAAGTGTTTATTAACAGCTGTCTACGCAAGATACTTCGGATCCGTTGGCCAGACACTATCAGCAACAAGTTACTGTGGGAGACAACAAACCAGATTCCAGCGGGGGAAGTAATCAAGAGGAAGCGCTGGAAGTGGACTGGGCACAATTTGAGGAAATCACCTAATTGTGTCACAAGACAAGCTCTCACATGGAATCCTGAAGGTCAAAGGAGAAGAGGAAGACCAAAGAACACATTACGCCGAGAAATAGAGACAGACATGGGAAGAATGAACAAGGACTGGATAGAACTAGAAAAGAAGGCCCAAACAGAGTGGGTTGGAGAAAGCTGGTCGGCGGCCTATGCTCCATTGGGAGTAACAGGCGTAAGTAAGTAAGATCAAGTATACTTATAACTTTTAAGTCTAAATCCTGATATAACTTTTATTTTGTTGAAAAAACATTGCTTACGTATCTTGTTCTGGAATATACATCTCACATGTACGTAAAGATGTTTGACCATCAAAACCACCGCAAACATACAAACATCCATCATAAGCAGCAGCTCCTGCAGCACTACGTCGACAAATCATTGAAGCAACAGTTGCCCATTTTCCGGTTTTTGGATTATATACTTCAGTTGTACGTAAGCGAGAATTTCCATCAAAACCTCCAATAGCGTACAATAGTCCTTGAAATAAGTGAAAGACAAGAATTACTCTTTAAAAGTGGCCGGTTAGTTATAATACTAAAAGAAGTTTATATACTGCCTTATGGAGGAGTAGCAGATCACTGATTGAGACACTTCAAGAACTCAAGCGATATTGACAGATCTGAATTACTCTTTACTTAGAAATTTGGAGAAATGTGAAGAGTCATTAATTTCAGTAAACTAAATATCAGTTACTCATATGGATTCAACAGCCGTTACACTAAGCGTTGTTTCCTCCTACAGATTTCAATACAGATTCTCAAAAAGAAACTTCCTTTCATGGTGCAGGTAACCGGGAAGCAACAGCTGTCCTTAACTCTTTTTTTCATCTGGACTATGTCTAACTGAAAAGGTGTACCAATACATCAACTTTTATTGTAAGTAATTATAAGATTTATTCATTACTGCCTGAAACCACTGCAACACATAAACAGCAAAAATTTATTAATTTAAAACCCAAATGATATGGCTTCCTACATTTGTACACTTATATGATTATCACATGCCATTGGCATTCGAAATCTAACCATCCAAAAAACTTAATCTTTCGAGTAATTTCTTAAGTATTTAAACTCACAGAAGACTAGTTAAATTGCTAAGGGAGAATCAGTCAGTCAGTCAGTCACAACAAAGAACTTCGTACGTACGTACATCAGTTCGAGCTGCCGTACCACATTAACACAGAGATGCAGTTGTCGACTCGAATCCCATAGTGGTAGAAGTAGTAAGAGTATAAGTATTATGTGAAAGATAAGGGTTTGAAGGTGTTATTGAAGGAGTATCATACGGTGAAATAAATTTGGAAAGAGAAAAAGGATACGGACATGAAGAATTCAGAAGATTAGAATTTGGTAGAACACAAAGAGTGGATGCACCTTCGCCATTGCAAACGATTTTGAGTCATGTCATTCAAGGTCTCTAACCATCGATTGCTATCATCTCGCGAATCCCAACCAGGTAGTTTACACCTACCAACATGGCTCAGTCCACTTGTCAGTGACTTCATGGACTTGTGCCACGTTTTGGTCTGGTCGCCCCTAGCTTTCTTCCAACCTACTTTTACACCATAAAACATTGCACGTCGGGACAGTCGGCAGAGACAATGAAGAGTATTTTAGTAGATGCATAAAAAAGAAAACATTTACTAATGTGGGTGGGACTCATGATATTACGAACCAAATGACTTAAACATGAATGAAAAACAATCTAATCTTGAAGATATCCCACTTTTATATATGTATATTTGATAGCTATAATAACTTATCCAATTGGAATATTTTCAGCATTCTAGCCTAAAATGCTTCACATTATAGATATGTAGAGATCGCAACTTTAATTTCTATAGAAGGAGCAAAAGAACACTAGCAATCAGATTTCAGCTACACAAATATTTGTTAAGTGTGTTAGTAATTAAATAAAAATTAAACAAAATGACATTTCCTTTACTAAGTGTAAACGAATAGGTTGATATTATGTGTCTGTGGTTTATCTGTTGAAGGACTTGAATTTCAATGAATATCCTAAAGATTCGTAAATTGTTCCGACTATGAATGTTTTGACTGAAAATTTTCACATAAAACATATAGCTTGTAGTCCTTCATATGAACTAATAAGCTATTAAGTTACGCTTTTACGTTACATTTATAGCTGAAAACGTAAAGTCGAAGTTTCAAAGAGTATAAGACTCATCAAGATTATGGATACATAATTTGCAGTGATAACAACGTCAAAACTAAGGTTCAAGTATTTCTTTCTATTATCTAGCTATTAAGCATAAAAAACTCGGTATTTAAGCTTACCCTTCAAAGCAACCACACCAATACGACTACGCTTAGATATCATACTTTCTGATAATTCCCAACGACCAAGTGAGGGATGATAAATCTCCACAATCCCATGACATTCTAGATCTGCATTCCAACCTCCAACGGCATAAATAACACCGAAAATATCTTGACATCTTCTAGGTCGACAATTAAAGAATTCCGACGTCTTCCACGACATAAGCAGTACATCACGTACTTCATCTAGAATATCTCTGCAAAAAGTAAAGTTTGAAAAACACATTCTAAATAAGAAAAAACTTTTATCATTAGTATAACAAAAACAAAACCTTGTTGAAACTGCTGTTCAGAAATATCTGAACTGAATCAATTATTTTTACTGTTTATATGGAGTTTCATAAGACATTGATAGTCAGTCTTTAACGCTAGATCTGGAAACAGATGTATATAGGCACAAGTTGATATATTCAGCGTTGGAACAATAAAAAATTAAGAAGATAAACAGCGGAATCGAGGAAATACCAACAATAAGGGCATCGAGAAAAACAAATCAGTATATAATTCAAGATGAACAAACAAATTCAAGGATTATATAGTGTTCAATAATGTCATTCTCAAAAAAATGACGAATGGAAGTATCGGTGTCTCTACAACTGAATTCGACCTAGGTCATCTAAGGTCTCCAACCATTAGTTGTAACTATCATGTTGATATAATGCTCGCAGACCTATTCTAACAATCAGGTTTCACTTGACTAGAGAATTAATGACCTACAAGTTGACCTCCTCCAACATTTTATCATGTTTACTTTGTGTTCGTATTTTGTACATAAGCGTGTTACTTTATCCCTTTGTAAACCCAATCTTCGAGCCAGTGATTCTGTTTTTTCTTCGTAATAATTCGGGAGGCTTGGATCAATAATACAGAATCGCGAGCAGTCAATATTTGACTATAACATAACAATGTAATTTATCTATGGATTAGCACGCTTAATAATAGAAATTCTCGTCTTATCACTTATTAAAAGCTCCCAAAATACATGCATTCTTCAAATAAGAAGCTCGTAACTTCAAAAATGGATTGGTTTAATAGTCAGTAAATTTAAAACCAGATGAAATATCTCGGCCTCGCCACTATTCGCCTTTTTTGACTACTTAAGTACTGGTTAGAATACGATGTAGTAGTAAGTGGTCGCTGAGCATGTACAATGTATGTCCTAAATATCTAGATCTATGAAAGTTTACAACTTCATGATTTTAGGAATATGGAACCTAAATTAACTCCAAATGTCTGAGATTCAAAGTACTCACAATATCACAATTTTGCACCAGTTTCTTATCCAGAGATTAAAGCCGTTATGGTTTTGATATTTCTAACTAGCTAGTCTACAATTCATTGGAAAGAAATAAATGAATACACGGATCGAAGGAATTTCCCAGAAAACATCCGATGTATTGAAGCTAAAGTGAGGTAGTAGATAAATCACTCAATATTCATCTACCAAGTCTCATGTGCTTAAATGTGATCCTAGCTAATACAATTTAGGCAGCTTAGTATTTTTAGTTTTTAGATAGGAATCGAAAACCAGATAGTAAATACACGAAAATTAACGTAACTACTCGACCTAACTGTTTGTTACTATTTGAAAAGACGTTTTTGTCCGCAGAATAACTTACCTACAACGAATATCCTTTCGAATAAGATCATGCCGCGAAATAACTGAGAAAATGTAGTTAACTGGAATTAGAGGTAGTCTGATTCGCCTAAGAAGGCATGGAAGAAAGTCAGTGCGGGGTTTGCTACTGAATATTTGTGTAGAACAATGAGAACTATGAGAATAATGTGTAGAATGTAAAGAACCATTACAACACGAATTTTGATAACCAATTTCACTTGAAACAGACGGTTTTATCGAATGGAAATTACCATCATAATTTTCAGGTAGCTCAATTACATTAACAGAGTCTGATATGACAGAATTCGTTTCAGTATCAGGATTAGGTTTTGTTTCAAATTCAACCCAAGACATAATTATGTCGAATAAGCGTTCCTCACTGCTGACATTCAGTTCATCTGACTCCAGTAATTCCATTAATTCACATCCTTCAAGATTAAAAAATGAAACTGTGCGTGCGATATCTTCGAAATTTTTGTAGATGTATGTCTCACAAGCAGATACCAACTCTGTACATAGAAAGCTTTGAGCTAGATTTCTCATCGGTAAAACTATGTCGACAGTCAATCTGTGAAAAAAAAACATACAAACAACACTGAACTTTATAAAAAAGAGCATAAAAAGTCAGTGCAGTAAAAAATAACACCAGACTTAAGGTCAGTAACTCTTTCTCTTATTATTATACGACGCACAAGCATACAAAAACAACTGTGAACTACTTAGTTGTCTCAAGATATAAAACACATTTAGTTCGGAAATATCTTAATTATGAAATCTTAGAGAAAGATTACCATAACAAGCATAGACAAAAACCAGTCATAACAATTAATATAACACACACCAAGTCTATTTTACTAGGCAAGATGTACACTTTTAAACCCTTGGCGTTGATATTACATACTGGTTAATCTGGGGAAGATAACTTAGGACCTGGTATGAATATATATTGATCCAAGGTACCACACTTCAGATCAGTACAAAGACAAGATATTAGCAAGATGTAAACAAACTGAGAGCCAAAAATAGCATCAGAGTTAACAAAAAATGATTAAAATAGACAGGTGAGATTGAATAACAAATTAATACTTTAGGGACTTACAACATTCAGTTGGAGGACGAACTAGAACTAGCAAATCATTCAACAATGTAAGCACTTTTCATTGCTACTAATATTATGACAACTATGTTCAGTCTAGTGCACTTATCATAAAATTCTGCCCTAAATGTCACCAAACCTTGACAATTCTTACGTTTGACTTAATTCTTCAATGTAACACACCCATCCAATGAACGACCATATTATTAGAAAGGGGTTTTGTGGAGATTTTAGTAATTTTATATAGTTGAGATCACGAGTCAATTGAAGCTAGACCACCATGGAAAACCTGGAAGCACTGGACGGCCGTTTCGTCCTATTGTAGGACTCTGCAGCAGTGGTCTATCGGTTAAGTGCTCTGGCTGGTTGATCCTCGGTTTAAATCTCACGAGATGGGATCGTGGATGCGCACTGCTGCGGAGTCCCACAATAGGACGAAACGGCAGTTCAGTGCTTCTAGGTTTTCCATGGTGGTCTAGCTTCAACTGACTCATGATCTCAAATATAAAGAACAACCATATTACTCTATCATAAATTTTCGTATAGTAAAGACCATATTGTCCTGCCCATTTAGCCACATGGAAATTACATAAAAATTAGTGGTCCTATTAGATTTCTTTTACACCAATAAACTGTACATTTTTCAACATAAAGCACGACTACATTGGACTAAAAACGGTTGCAGCAGGAGAGTTCGAAATGATCACATGGATATATATTGAGGTTTTAAGCAATACTGCAAACGTCAGAATTGACCCCCAAGAATCACTATGAATTTTTAAAAGTCATCGAAACGTCATGCAATATTTTCTATCATGAGAAAAATAATATGCCCAAATATTCATTAATTGGTAGTTTGTTGGAGCAGTCTAGAAGGCTAAACGCGAAGTACAGGCTACTGACCTACCGCTAGAAAAGATCTTAGACCCTGTTTCCCCTCTTATTTATTGATTATACCCTATTAAACTCACCTTTCACTGATATATCTGCAGCAGATGTTACGAACATTGTTAAGCTGTAAAAAGTTGGCCCCGATTAAGATTGATTGAACATTACGAGGATTGATTTGAACTAGGCCAGTATAAGCATAACCAATGAATGCTTCTAAAGCACTAGACACTAATAAGAGATTAATAACTTACCAAGCGTCAAGTCCGTGAATGGTGACTTCGCTTTTAGTAGATTCAGCCATGTTACTTAAAAACATTCCATTAAAGAATGGTATGGTAGCAGCCAAAACAATCTTGTGTGCCGTGAAGCGATTATTATCCGCCTAATAATCAAACAAATAACTGCCACAACTCACAATCAAAGTGACGTCGCATAGTTTTCCGTCTCTTCGCATACAATCTAAAGCCGTGAAACCAATCTTATATATCTCACGATCTTGGAAATTCAGAGAGTTTGGTAGATAGGACTATAAGTAATGAATTTAAACATATCTGGGAACACTTACTTTAGACTTAACCCCAGCTGATGTACCGCTCATGTTTAAAAGTATCCTCAAGAATACAGAAATGGTTCCAATAGATACTGTTCAATATCTTTCAGGTAATATAATGCAACCAAAATAAATTATTACCGTTCTCTCGTCAATATTTCAATGCCGTTACGGGCCCACGTTTGCGCTCAAAGTATACTACTTCGGTCATTCGACTTCAATAGTCCAAGTTGGTTTGCTAGTTACTTGAGAGTCTATGTATTTTTTACGTCCAGTCTCTAATAAGCTATCATCTGGATTAAAAGTAGATCTTATGTGAAAAACGAGGGTCTGATATAGCCAGTTGGTCTATATGAGGCGGTTTCACCGTTGGAAATACTATCACGTGATATTCCAACCATATCATACTACGCATCAATCTCATTTTTCACAAAGGAATAATCCATATCGTCACGATCGATCAAATGGCTACTTGAGATTGACCGATGCCTAGCGTTGATTATGTCCAAATATTCCATCGAAAACAATTTGAGGTCCCTAAACATAAGTTTTCAAAGACTTCTATTAATTCTATTAGCTATTTTCACAGACTCGCTACACACTTCTTCAATGTGCCTAGATTGTTTAAATTAACATGAAGGCAACGGGGCGGGTTGTCGATGATTGCCTAAGCCTATTTCTGTTCCTCGCAAATCCTTTAGCTAGAATTTCAAATGCTTTCTGTTGACCTAATTTGATACTGACAAGACAGGAATATCTATTGTAGCTTTCCCGTCGTATCGCTGACCTCGCTGTCTTATCTGTACACATTCTTACCAATATATATCCATAATAACGTCCTTTGTGTTATATGGTCTTCAAAGCAGTAATAGTACTTTGATACGTCGAAGGAGTAATATACGTGAGATGCTGAACGCGAGGTGAGGCTTCAAATTTATCAGGTCCGTCACGCCGTTACCGTCTAACTGGAATAGGCCTACAATCATTTGACAGAGATCATCAACATTGATGATCTACATACTCATTAGTATAAGAACTAACAACCGATATTGGAATGTACTTATCTGGTCCCTGGAATTGTACATGAGCACCATGTCGGTTGTGTTCTGAAATTACTGATATCTAGAACCTGAACCGTAGATTTTTCAACACTACCATCCACCCGCGAAATATTGTTGGATCTTCATATCCCCAAGTTATAATTAATGTAACTTCATTATAAAAACATTTTTCTTACATTCACTAGAGAAGTCATTAGTGTCTTCATGGTAAGGATAAACAACAGTCAAAATTCAATCATCCGAACTGCAATCGAAATCGAGGTCAGTTGGGTCTTGTGCTTTACACCGAACAACTTTCACGCAAGAAACAAATGCATTATGAGGACTAATAATATTCTGTACACTATACATGATCTAGTATTAACTCTTTCAGAAATGCAATTATACACAAGTTTCAATGATGTTCACATAGTATTTACCATATTTAAACAGGTTCTGTAGAATTTAAAATATTGGGTTGGCTTTAAAGAAAAAAAGGACGAACAAAACGCGAATACTGTGGACTATAAAACAATTGTTCAAGAAACAGAATAAGAATAAACGGCCATATATGTATTACAAGGTGAATTTTATAAAATAAATAAATAATGCAGTAAGATATGACGGTAGAGTGGTAGTTTGTGCAGTCATAATTTAGAACGATGCCATGAAAGTATAAGTTAATTACAGAGAATACTCATCAAATATCACTTTGTATGGGTCATTTATACGTGGTGACTTTAAAATGAACCCGATAAGATTCAGAACTAGGATATCAATCAGTGCCTCAGAGAGCAAAGTCAATTAAGTTTGTGGTGTTTAAATATATATACAATGTCGATAAGATGATGGGATGAATTCCTAAATCAAATCCTATCAGATCTCATTAAATTTTTGAGCTACTGAAAACGACTTTATCGACTAAATGAACCTAGATTGCCTCCTTTTTAATGCTTTATAAATTAAGTCTCACGATATTCTAAACTTTAAACTCTGTTTACCATACTCAATAGATATTTTACAGTCCATGTTCTTTTGTGCATTTGACTACGCCTGACGTTTGGTTATAACCCTAATTCTTCCAGAAAAATTAACATGCAGATTATTATGTCATTAGTGAACAAATCCTGGGTAACACATCATTAATTAACATATTGCAACTTTAGACATGAATCTATCGAACCTAAGTACCTGTCAGATAGATCAACATCCTCTTGTTTATACCAACTGACACAGCTCGACGCGAGTCTCAGAAATTTTTATTAATCATAGTATCCGCACGTTTTTATTATGTTGCTGAGATCACTGGGTAAGTAATGGTGTGCTTAGACACAGGGTATTAGAGAATAATGCTAGATCAGTTGATAAGGTTGTGAATCTACGTTGACTGTGATGATTGGATCACGTGCCACGCATGCCCAACCATCGACTACCACGGTGCACAATGCTGACTTGTGTCGGAAACGGTTTGGAGAAAGTTAGGGGTGGCCAAACCAAAACATGGCATCAGTCCTTGAAGTCACTAACTTTTGGTCTGAGCTATGTTGGTAGGTGCAGACTAATTGGTTGGGGTCTGAGCGACTATCTTAACCAATGATTGGAGACTCTAGGTGACATGGCTCAGAATCGATCACAATGACACATACACTCTTTGTCTTCCCTTAAACCGCGAGATTAAAATTACTTTACACCTTTATTTTTACGTACTAACTCTTTCTCTATATATCATAACCTTATATGCTATCTTTGTTTTATATATTACTGTCATTGAAATAACTACTATGAATTTGGTATTAATTTTGTTGAGTTAGTGAGGTGTGGCAACTTGAACCGATGTATATATGTACCTGTCCCTACGTTGTGAATGACTGACTGAATTTTATTTGTATACAACCCTAATACCGTACCAGACTGATTTGATGGCTCTTTTTTGGATACGGTTTAAAGCATTCCCATCCTATTGAAGTGAGCCAAGGAACACGGAATTGTGCAATGTAATAAAGCAACGTACGCAAACGCATTAGCACTGATCATGAGACTGATCAAATGAAAAAGAAATGAAAAAGTTGCATTTTAAAAGCTTTTATTTATAAAAAGAGTCTCATTATTCACCTTCAATAAACTATGGTAAGTAATAATACAGACGAGCATGAATCTGCCAGACTAGTGATCCAAACAGAGTAGCTTGACGTTTTGCATAATACACAAATAAGTAAAAGTTGGAGGAAAAAGATTGAATTCGAAAACAGTCTTCGAACGTACATAGGATTATACCTAGATAGCACTTGTAATATGAAGCTCACAATGCATAAGTAAAGATTACAGTAACAAAAAAACACAGATCGGCGTGTGAAATCTGTAAAGTGTACTAGAAAACAGGTCAACAGCTTATCAGTCAATCATGACGAAAATGCCGAATGATCTTGTCTATTTTCAGTTAAATTTATTCAAAGTGTAACGAGTTCCCACACGACGCGCTGAGTGAAAAGAAAACAACAATACACAAGTAAGTTAAGGTATAATCAATATTGATTTCCAAAGAAAGCATATTATTATACATGTATGGTTAAGGTATACAATCGGATAATCCACAAGATATAATGCCAACTGCCAATGTTACAAGTGCATGTGATGAGTAATAAATAAGAGATCTGCAAACAATCACCGGTTCAAAAGAAGTATTCAGTTAAAAAAATCTCTAGTTTCTTAATAATAAATTTGTTCTTAAATACGTGAACATTTCAAATGTAGATAAATATAGAAAAAGGTTGAGATAGTTCATGTACAGGGCTCTAAAAGCCCACAAAATATATTTTAATTCTGCATAAAATTTAAGAGTCAATATGTATATGACTGAATAAATAAGCAATTCAAAAATAAACAGGAACTCTTGATGTTAATAAACTTCTGACTACTTTGAAAAATATACATATATACCGGTAGGTATACCGAAAAATAGGATATAAGTGCAATGAACGGGAATAGGTGATCTTACACGCAAAATAGTAACACAGTGCCACAAAACACACGGTTAGTGTTAACACAAATATATTTGTTAGTGTATTCAACTTATTAATCTAAATAAGAGACACACAAAAAATGTCGGTATATATGTGAGATGGTTGAAATTGTCACAGTTTACACGACGAAAATAACAGAAAATCTACACCAAAAACAGAAGAGTAGGGGGACTAATAGTAATAGCTAAAGGTTCTGATAGCAGTAGAAAATTAAGTGAAATAAGAGAACTGAGACAAAATCCATGGTGAAAATAATGGAATGATATAGTGTTGAAGAGGAATATAAAATAGAGTGATATTCAAGTAGTGTGATCGAAATCAAATCATTACTTATATTAGTTCCAAATAGTTGATGAATTAATCCAATGAAGAACAGTACTACTGAATAGCTATTTTAAATCATTTCCTAATAAATCATAATTTAGTCAACATAAATGATATTCTGAGTCATTTGGTAGAAGATCAAAGAGAACATAGAAAAACTTTTCCCAACAGCAAGGATCGACCTAATTAGACAGCAGATACAAAGTAATGCATTATAAGCCAAAAACGAACCCAAAAAAGTTGTATACAAGACCACAAGCTAAACAGTGTCTAACAAAACATAATGAAGGAATACATCACCTAAGGAATAGACAGGTTGACAAACTTTCAACCAATGAGAGCTATTAAAGAAATCAGAAGGATGTTATAAGATTCGACTGTTAACTCCACCGTTTACACTAGTGTTTTGTCCCAATTCTAAGAATAAACATTCTACTGTTCCAACTCCCGTTTTGGAAGAATTAAGTGGAGCATAGTAGTTAAGGAATAGTAGACGGTAGAAGAGCTTAATTAATACTGGGTAACGCAGATTCTAATCTCAAAGACAGGGCTAGTTCCTTCAAGATTGCATGTCAGCTTAGATGATGACGAGTGACAACGAGTATAAAACCCTGGATTCAAGACTCTGCCAACTGCTCTATGAATACTAAACACGCTTAATTTTACCACACTCACATCAGAATAGGAAAGCACATGGCTAGCTTTTCAAAGATGGTTAGTTGCTTCACAGTCTAAAAAGTTAGTTAGTATTTCGAAATCAAATTTATTTTTGCTAAGCGAAATAGGACAGATACGGAAATTAATATCAAACAACTTCGGAAATCACTTCACACAGAATATACATTTTAAAAAAATCCTCATAAAAAGTAAGCATAAATCTACGAACATTATTAGATTCACTGCAATCATTTCCCCTATAAACCGGATTTATTATGATTAGAATATAGTTTGTGTTAAACATACCTACCTTTGGATTAAACAAATGCCTGGCGCCTAGCTAGAATTATCATATTACATATATATACACATATATTGTTTAATACATATATATGTATAGATTTGATAAATTTTTAGTTTTACTCAAAAGAGACAAAAACAAAATATTTTTGAATAAAGCAGAAACAAAAAACCCTAGCAGAATAAAATTAGTTATTACAAGTGTTCAAACCAAAACCATTTATTTAAAAGGAACAGTTTGTAACGCTTTCACCGTCCTAGTAATTTTTATTTTCCCTTATTCAGTTACGTAATATCTTATCCCATAATCTCGACAACAAATTCCCATCCATTATTCATGGATTTTTTTAGCCTTATTCATTTTACTGTTAGTCTATTCATTTTTATAGTCATTATTACGTAACTTTGACACCGATTCTCATTCTCTAGAAATGTCTCCATATTATTAAGAAGCAATTTTTTTTCTAGGATTTTTCCGCTGAATAATATGTAAATATTTATCCACTTTATTTATATTTAATTCTTATACAACTGTTATCATCAAACTACTAATCTTCATTAATGACATAACGTCAATTGATTGTGAATAATTATTACTACTGTTTTCAGATTGCAAGTAGCTTAAAAGAAACTACGAAATAAATGAATCCATTCCATTTTTTTCTCTGCTTTAATCATATCCATTTAAAAAATCAGAAAAATTGTACAAAATATTTAACTGAAATTAAGATAATAACCAGGCACTATTACTTTGAATACTTTCAAATAGATGTTGGTTGGTGACCAATGTTAATCATGGTATGTTCCATAAGAAAAAAAAACACTTCATGTATTTATGTTTACATAAATATGTAAACTATGCAAATATTTATACTCTGCTTGTTTAGCTAAACGTTTTTCTAAACTTTTATTTATTACCGCCATTTATATTATTAAAGTGTACTTTGAACCAATACTCGGTCATAACTGATAAGTAAGTTGTTTGAGATATACTCTATTTTCTCAGATGTAGCAAACAATCAGGCATAGTTGAATTAGAAAAAAAACTTTGTTTATAAACACAGCTTAAGCAATTCGGAATTAGTAATGGGTAAATGTGAACAAGGAATATTGATATGATGATCAAGGAATTAATTGGTTAGAATGTGAGTAACTAAGCAACTGATTTTTCCCAATCCTTGTGACATACAACTGCATCCTAAGAAGTTACTACGTAACTCAATCAATTAGTTATATATGTCAGTAATAAACGCGTAAATGTATGATAATGTAAATATGTGTTCATAAAGTAAGTTGTTATTCAATCGATGTTAAAAATACAACTTAGTTTAACTTAAACAAATCTGACTGTAAAAACTAGTGTATTCATATACAGTTTTGAGGGTCAAATATAAACCTATCTATCGTCTTTGAGTTCTTACTTGCGTTGTTCAACTTACGATCTTGCTCAAGCTTTTTTGCTTTGGTTTGGGCGCCCAGGAAGTATTCCAGCAGTTGAACAGTTTGACCAAAAGAAACTATAACGAACTCTTATACTATGATCAACATTTTATTCGTTCACACACTTGGTATTTCCTAGTCACAATTACGATCGAAAGATTAACTGAATATATATAACCAACCTACGAACAGCGACTGAGACATTAATGGCAGTAATTAAATAGTGTTCAAAATGAAACATCAGCCAGATACACATATCTAATTGTCGGCACTAGCTTTCGTACATATCCCGTGTTATTACTCCGACACATATACTGACGCAGGATAAAATAATCCACTAGAGAGTACCAGTTCCCTCAAGATTATAGATAAACCTTGTTGACGAGTGCCTGATCGCATGTCCACGGTTTTCTGTCGACTATCTTCAACCACCTAACAGATGTAGTCTGTTTATGGGTAAATCATTTCAAAACAAAGTGTAAACAAAATAGACATATGAAAAACTTTTTCCAGGAAGATGAATAATTATACCTATCGTTAAAATATATTAACAGACGACAACTAGCTAGTCCAATTAAAAAAATTTGCATACTATGTGAGGAAACAGATTAGCAACGCATAATTTAGAACAAACGTTACACTACTTACTTCCTTGATACGACTGAGAACCTAAATAGAAACCAAAAAAATGACATCAGAATTAGTCTAATCATATGCTAACTTAAAAGATAAAAAGTAAATAGGTAGATATAGAAGAAGAATTATAATCACGGTACGAATACTATATATATATATATATATATATATATATATATATATATGCAAGGTACTTAGCTGATGCAGTTCAACTAAGTGTTAATTATCAAATGATAGCACCACAAGAATAGGTGGGAGAACTTTAAGAATGATTAGCAGTATTGTTTTTACTCCCTTTCATCACATCAGATCTCTTTCTAATAGATTCTCCGATCGATTTGGAGTGCAAGGATAAAGAACTGACAGACCGATATTATACAAGATGAAAGATCATTTGAATGAATTCAGTTGTCAACAAATTCACACTGAAATCTATTTTAAAATACATACGGATTTCAATACTTTTGCTAAGAAAATAAGCTGAAGTAAACTAGTTTGTGACAAAATCCCTAGCAGACATAAGATACTTATGTTACCTGTCAGTTACTTTTAGTCCGGAATGATATAACAGATACGTTAGAATACATCTAGGTACTCGTAACTGTGTTATCATTCACACCAAAGTAATTAAAATCAAAATACTGAATTGAAAACAAAAAAATCTGACTACTAATTGAACAATATGTTTACAGAATGTAAAGTCATAAGTGAAGTAATTTGTTTACTAACCTTTCAAACCAGACAAACCACCAGTACGTGACTCAATTAGTTTGTCATTCATTTCAACTATACTATTGACTTTATCACTAAGCTGCAAAGCAAGAGCCTGAAGACGTGAACGTTCTGTTTTATGCATTATTAATGCATCACTAGGAACTTCCAAAGAGGCCTATGAATAATAATAATAATAAACAAGAGTTTAAAAAGTTGAATACTGTCGTAAAAATTGTTTTAAATAAAATACATACGTTGAAGTTATCCAACGATAATATTGTCTTCTTCTACGGCACAGTAATCTTAGGTACTTCAATTCAATTGACCAGTTTCAAAACAAAAATATGAATTAAAAAGAAACATTAATATAATTCAAATTAAAAAAGGATAGTTAATCAGTTACATTTCGATTAGAATGACTGCAATTTATGAATGTAGTCATTGTCACCAAATAAAATAATGAATTTCATACTGAATAAACTGGTAGTTGTGAAAATACATTGAAAGTTAATGAACAAAGTTCACTTTAATTGTCATTTGCAATAATGAAGAGAATCTAAAAGCAGGCACACCTAGTTCTGGCTGTCATCAAATAAATATTAGTACAGAAAACATGATAAAATTTCATTTAAGATATGAGTAATTGTTGGATACGAGTTGTTTAAGTCATACACCTTTACCCACTTATCTATTAATGGGGTTTATTTATTTATTTATTTAAACACATACATATTGGTACAAAAAGGGCACCAGATACATATGCGCCACACAAAATAATGAAAGTAGGAAGAGAAAGGATGAAAAGATAAGGCGGACTAAAATGTACAACCAGAAGACTCTTTCAGTTAAGAAAGTTAGAACCACTTTTATGAAGAAAGTAAAAGAAGGTTGCAGCAGGATCGCCACTGGCTTCTATTCTGAGCCATATCTGATAACGTCTCTAGCCACTGTGTTGCACCATCTCTCAGACCCCAACCAGGGAGTCGTGAAGGACCAACAGAAGCTAGCCCTTTGCAGCTCTCTTTCATGTCACGACACCATGTCATACACTGACCTCCTCTCCGCTTTTTCCAACCAGTCCCAGAGTCGGCAAATAATGCACGACGTGGAAGTCTCTAGGACGACATTCGTAAAACATGTCCAAGCCACCGAAGTCGGTGTTTCAAGATGGTGACACTAATTAAATAATCGTCTCTGCGCCCGAACACACGATGCCGAACCTCTGCATTACTAACATGGTGTAGCCACTGGATCTCAGCAATCCTTCGGAGACAACGATGATCGAACACAGAGAGTCGTCTAACATCCTCAACTCGGAGAGGCCAGGTTTCACAAGCATAGAGCAAAACTGCTCTCAACGACGTGTTGTAGATCCGACCTTTTACAGCCAGACTAACATCACGAAGGCGCCAAAGATGGCCCAGATTGGCATAAGCAGCTCTGGCTTTCCTTATACGTGCATCAATCTCATCACTTACGCCACCACCAGCATTCATGTAGCTACCTGGATACACGAATTTCTCAACTACTTCGATCTCCTCACCATCCAGGGTGAGTACAGGATGAGAATCCTGCCAGCACATGCCGTACCTGCGGACACTGATTGCCAACTGATTAAGTGCGGATTGCATGCCTTGGGCATTATCGCACAGTAAGACAATATCATCCGCATACTCAAGGTCAAGAAGTCGTTCTCCAGGCAACATATCCACACCGCCATTACTTACATCCATCAGAGCTGTTTCCAGGATGTCGTCGATGGCAAAGTTGAAGAGGAATGGTGAGATCGGGCAACCCTGCCTAACCCCACTGCTCGAATGAAACAAGGGAGAAAGGTGGTTGTATGCCCTCACTCTGCCTGAGGTGTTCGTATACAGGGCCTTTAAGATGTTAATGAACTTCTCAGGCACACCCTTCTTCAATAGACAATCCCAGAGAACAGTCCTGTCCAACGAATCGAAGGCAGCCCTGATATCAAGAAACACTACGATTGTTGGTCTGCGATAAGTATGACCGTGTTCTAACATTTGGCGGAGGGTGAAGATGTGATCAATGCATCCTCGACCAGAACGAAAACCAACCTGCTCCTCGCGAGTCAATCGTTCTCGGGTTTTAAACAACCTACGAAGAATGACAGAAGCCAATAGTTTGGACGCAATCGGAAGTAGACTTATCCCCCGATAGTTGTTACAGGAACAACGTGAACCCTTTTTAAAGATAGGGACGACTATGGACTCATTCCATGATGTTGGAACACTTTCTTCCTCCCAAACCTTTCCAAACAACGCAGTCAGTTCCTTAGCCAGAAATTCACCACCATCTTTAAAAAGAGCCGGAGGTAAGTCATCTGGGCCCGGTGATTTGTAGCGTTTCAAGAGTTGGAGTTCCTTGCGGACTTCCGCCTCGTTTGGTGGATCAGTCGTCATCGGCCATGAAGGGCAGGATAAACTGGTTGATGTTGCCGGAAAGGCAGGCTAGTTGAACTGCCCTTCGAAAAATTCCGCCCATCGTCCAAGACGTCGGGAGATGTTAGTGATTGGCATCCCGTCATCCTCGTAGATTGTTTCACTCACACCAGACTTCTTGCTGCCAGTGACTCGGATGAGTTGGAACAGCTTCCGGCAGTTACCAGATGCAGCTGCTGCTTCCATCTCACTAGCACGCTCCGACCACCAGGCTTCTCGGTCCTTACACAAGCTTTGCCCAATTTCATTACGTAACAGCCTTCGTTTGTGGTCAAACTCACGGTCACCCGGAGTAGACCGACGGGCTTCCATCAGTTGTAAGGAGCCAGAAGAAACCCAGTGCATGTAAGCGGGACGTTTCGCGAAGCCGCAAGCGGCTTTACTCGCCATTTTCATGGCGTTGTGAAGATGCAACCAATGCTCATCTATACTTTTCGGTGGGATGGTAGCTAGCCTAGAGGCTAGCTCCGTTCGATACTTACTTGCAACAGAAGTTGCAGCCAGTTTACTAACATCGATCCGTTGGTGGTGGTCAATCCTTCGGCCACTGAAAAGTAAGGTGAGATTGGCGCAGACCAGGGAATGATCAGACTCCAGATAGGTACTCCAAAAGGAGCGGCAGTCTTGTACACAACCACGCCAGCGGTAGCTGATCGCGATGTGATCAACCTGAGTCCAGGCTTGAGATGCAGAGGGGGGACGTCAGGTGGCACACCGGCGATGACTGTGCCGGAAGTTAGTGCTAGCCAGAAACAGGTTGTGGTCTGTGCACAGTTGCAGCAAACGGTCCCCGTTATCTGTCCTGCGACCAACAAGTCCCTATCGGCCACCTAGACGACTCTCTTCTGTGCCTAGACACCCGACCTGAGCATTCAAGTCTCCGGCTGATACTACAATATCTGTCGAACGCGCTTTCTGGAGAAGAACTGTTAACTGGTGGTAAAACTCATCCTTGATTGCATCCAGGCTGCAATCTGTCGGGGCATAGGCGGAGATGACGAAGAGACACCGTTTCTCACGCCGATTTCTTCTCACTTTGATGGAACTTTCTAATCTAACAGCACATAACCGACTGTTAATGGGGATCCAGTCGATTAGTGCTGCCTCAGCCCTAGCGCTTAGTGCGACACCAACGCCAGCAAGACCAGACGAAGATGCCACAGGGTCAAAAGTCCTCTCGTGACGATCACAGAGGAATCAGTTTGACCAATATAGTGTGCGAACGTTGAAGGAAGCTAGCTTGAACGGTGTACGCGGTTTCAGAAAGACTGCTTCAGTATTCATAATCGGTGGAAGCATTCACATTCAACCCGACAGTGACTGGAGATCGTTTAGATGGGACAGAGTTTCCACCTTGGGCGAGCTACAGCATAAGTTGGAAAGGAAAGATATACAATTTGAGAATAAAGGGAGTGAAAAAGCGACGTAGTAAATAACAGCAATAATAATAATAATAATAATAATAATAATAATAATAATAATAATAATAATAATAATAATAATAATAATAATAATGGTAATAATAATAGTGTAAATTGTCTTGCTTCTAGTGTGAGCGGGAATAGTATCGTCAATAGAATTCATCATTTCATTTATTTGTGTATGGGCTGTGATACTGCACGGGTGCCCAAACTGAAGCAGGTGGTTTTCTTAGGGGGTCACACCCCGAGCCTTTGACCTAAAGGTCTAGTCCACAAGACAGTGGAGCATCGTAAGGAGATGCAGTCCCATGGTAGCCGTTGACCAGCAGAAGGTTCATTCGTCATTCGTTCCATCAGGATATTGGAGCCCATGTGCACCATTGGTTTGGAATCAGGGTTTTCCAACTCCCCTAGGTGGACACTCCACATCCACCAACCCGGTTAAAACGCCGGACATTCGCTTTTCGTCCTCTCACTTTTGTGAACAACACCCCGGCCATGAGAAGGCAGTGAGTAGGACTTCCCTGGCAGAGGCTATATATTCGCTGGCCATGTGAGAGCATTTCGAGAGGGAGAGCGTACTCTCCCCACTCTCGGCCGTACCAGGACATTTGGGGGTTAAGCTAAATTTTTCTTGATCATATCCAAAATATAACTGTTACAAATAAAACTGATGACAACAATCTCAACCAATCAAGATATAAGAGAATAAGCATTAAATGCTAAACATATCATTTACTTGGTTTCAGTATAGTTAAGGTTGCACAAGTCTATAAGGGATCTCTTGCAGTAATTGTAGTAATATGAAAATGAGACTTTGCTAATAAGATATGAATAATCTATGTACTGTTTGTTTATTTTAATTTTAATTTCTACATATTGCAGTTTATGCGTGGTTGAAATAGAGTTCCTTCAAATACATATATTCTTAGAATCTCCTCATTAGCCTACATACACAGAATGGAAGATCATTTATATTTTCTATATTGAAGCAACTAATTATGTAAAACAGAAAAAAGCATATATTCTTTCCTCTATATTCAATAAACTGTGAAGTAGAAAATCCAACACAAAAAATTGTCAACTACATATAAATTAAAAGGTGTTTATTATTAATCTCAAAAGTTTCTTTATTCGAGCTGATGAGATGTATACAAAGACTGAGATTTGAATCAGTTTCTATAGGCGTATTTATTAGGTTAGTTTGAGTGATGAGAAGCATTAATTTATACAGCGAGTACCAAATTTTATTATGGACTCTTTGTAATATGGGCTTCTTACAAGAATGTTTAGATGATGCCCTCGAAACTCCATATGTTCACAGAGAGTGATTTAGTTCATTCTTTAAAATATTGACAATAGGACGCTGAATATCATTACAGCTAATATTAAATATCATGCCCGTTGATCAAGTGTTTATACTGACCCAATAGTCTAGTGTAGAACGTACTGTAGAGTATGAAGATATGTGCACTACTTTTGAGTTCCAGTGACGACGGAAACACTAACATGTAGGCACGTTCGGCTATTGAATTTCAAACAGAATGTAGGATACGAAATGGAGTTCATTATTATGTTAAGAAAAATAATTTGAAATTTGAGTAACAATTTACTTGCCATTTTACATACATGTTTTATGTCAACATCAAACTTGCAGCCCAACCTTCAAGTCGATTACCTTCAACTGTCAACTAACATCACTTAGACTAGTGAATAATTGACTGATAGAATTTGATCAACAACGAAAGAACGAGAAAATGACATGATGTTGACCATTAACTACTGAATGATCAATCAACTGTATACCACTATACATTTTAGTCAACAGAATTCAATTAACACTAAGGATTAGACGACAAACATCATATTGTAGATTAGTGAGTGATCAAACGATATAAGACAGAAATGAGATAGTGGCTAGAAGTTAAATCAAGGACCCATGTTTCATCCTATCTGGGACTCATCAAATGGATGTAGCAATTAATGTATCAACAAGAAATTCCAAAAAACTAATACATACTAATTAAAATTAAAATTCACCACGTTCCACAAGTCACTGGCTATATGAACTCAGTAGCTAAGTGGATAACTCGATTGTGTTTGAAGCGAAAGGTACTAGGTTCGAGTACCTGAGTGAACATCAACTCTCAAGATTTACTTACATCCAGCTGATGAGTCCCAAATAGGACGAAGTGCACGTGCTGAACTCCACTGCTAGTCATTATCCATTTTTGCTTCAAACGCTTGTCACCTACTAACAATATCGAGGCAACCTGCATAAGATGAACATATGCTAAAAAAGAGATTGATAAATTCCAAACCTAGATATTAATGGTAAGTTTCAAACAACCAATACAAATGAATTAAATCTAAACAGTATAAAAAGTTTATTTGCATTACAATCAATTGTACCATTTATTCAATGGAATCAATGCTATTTTTTAAAAACTGAAAAGCCATATATCACTAATAATCACTACTAAAAATGTGAATTAAATTAAAGAAAAAAATAAGTTAACAAAATCATTCTCTGAACTATTTTATTCTATTAGAACGTCAATATTGGTACAAGGGAACACCAGATATATATGCGCCGCACAAATTTCATCTGATTTGCGTGAGGGCTGTGATACTGCCCAGGTGCCCGAACTGAACACACAAATAAAAATCAACTCTTTCCTGTTACTGAACATTGAATTTTAGTTATTCATAAACAAAAAATAATAAAAATAATGATATTATTATTATTAAATGGTTGATAACTTACAGCTAATTCTTGATTGATAATCATTCGACAAATGACTGAATAAATTACAGATTTTGGTAATTCAAAACACATAGATAAACGATCTAATGTCATTGAATCGTGTATTGCACTAAAAGTAAATAAAAAACTGCGTAATGATTCTTCTTTAATTTTAACTTCTAAATTCTGTTTCACTTTATTCGATTCAAATAATAAGTCCCAAATCTAAAAGAAATAATTCATAAACAGTAATGTATAAATATTATAATTAGAAATGGTTTAAATGATCCAATTGTTAACATTCTCAACTGAATTTTGTATGTCTTTATAAGGATAATCATCGAGATACTAGCCATTTTGTTACGAAATTAAGAGAATAAATTGATTGTGACTAGCGGTGGAATTCAGGATGTGCATTTCATCTCATTTAGGACTCATCAGCTAGATATGTCCTTGTTCCAGTGCTGATACCAAACAAAAAAATTAATCCCAATTCGGTAAGGAAGACCGACAATAGGATAGTTTAAATTATTTATCATAAGAATATAAACATTAAATTCATTAGATAAGTTAGTGACTATATGAATTCAGAAGCTCAGAAGATAACAAGTTGGGCGTTTGAAGCAAAATGTATGGAGTTGGAGTTTCGGTGTGAACATCAGTATCAAGACTCACGTACATCCAGCTGACGAGTCAGAAATAGAATAAAATTCATGTCCTGGATTCTATTACAAGACACAATCCATCTATTTTATGAGAAATACAATCACACACTTTGATCATGTGTTTACTGATAACGGGCTCTGGGATGAACTCCTGAAGGTCTTAGTGAGCTTTGTAGAAGCTAATGAAATGGTGAATATGAACAAATATCTCCTGTGAGAACAGATTATGATGTACACATAACAATATGAATTGGCTAAAGTCAGAAATATGAAGTATCGGATGTTAACTAAATGATCTGAAGGTTAAGAGTTAATCAGATTTGGTCCCTGAGGATGTGGGTTTCCAAAGTATTATTCTTCCTGAGTGGTTCTACTGACAAAAAGTTTCAATAAGATTTCAGAAAGTGGTAACATATTTACATAGATCTTTTTCCCCATATCTAAATAATTATTACAATTTTGTACTTGTAGGAGTTATCAAGTCTACGTAAAATAACAAATGCTTAATTCTATAACAGTTATAGTTCAAATCGAGTATGATACTAGTTCAACACATAAATAACAATAAAAGCACAGTCATTCTGTACTTTCCACAAAATCGTCTATTTAAGATCTCTGCCAATGATAACAACATCCAAATATACACAGAGTTCTTTAAGTATTTCAGTGGATCTCTTCACGGATATTTCGTAAATTAGCCAGCATTCATAAAAAGATTAATCCACCTAAAAAATCACACTGGATTTCTAATATTGTTACAAAAGTTGCATCTCAAAAGAAATCTGTGTAAATAATTGAAGGATTTTGTTTGATGTGAGATCGGTCATTTTTATTCGGTCAAAAATTCAGATGATATACACTAAGTCTGGCCAAATCAAACAGAAGTGAATAGAGAAATAAAAAAGCTATGACGAACAACGGAAGCTACTTTTAGAAACATTATTTCAGTTAAATCAAAGTTTGTAGAACGCTAACGTTTAGTTTTGTCCCTTATTTATACGACAAACCATAGGCTTTCGTTTGATGCATGGCTCACAGTCATACTTTTTTCTATCAAAAAATTATTAACTTAAAAGAAACCTTTTGTACTTCGTCTTTCTATCACAGTGCTTATATATACATAATTATATTTTTTCAAATTGTTTTTGCGTTGAAATTGTGTTAGCCATTTATTTATTCATATTGTGTTAACTTGATTTAGGAATAAACTGAATAGTATTCCGCATAAATCGTCTCCCTTCTTGCGCACATGTCAACCAATCACGTGATAAAATAGTTCTCGTCTCTCTGCCCCGAATCCGTTTAGTCTCAATTCACTCATGAATCACTAGCCTCAAGGTTGTACTAGATAGTCTATTGTGTCAAGGTCTTAAACCAGATCAAAGCAAATTCTCTCCAGTATATTATTAGGCAGACAGATCAAAGATGTTACAAAAACTTACGAAATATCAAGGATTAAACACTTCATTAGCCACGAAATCCGCTTACTTTAGCATCCATTTTGGGATTGATGATAAAATTAGTACAAGCTTTCCAATTGCCATAACGCATAGCTTTAGCAGCAGCTAGAACATGGTCTCTTGGTGTTTCAGGTGGTCCAACTAATGCAGCACGATCATGAACACGTAAGGCAAGATGAAACGGTTTACTAATAGGACGCCAACGTAAATCCGTTTCATGAGCTTAAAAAAGTAATGAACAGAAAAATATAAATACAATTTGCATGTATATTTTATTTTCAAACGCATATGTTGGGGGATATTAAACACAACATGTGTTATATACAGTTGGTTACCTGCTAAATTTGGGATTTCCAAAAGCATTGCAGATACCAGATAAACACATTCTATTAGATCAATATTTATATACATATGATATGGCATCTGTAAGGCTTGTTCGCGCTTCTCTTCCTCAGTAGTTTTCTCATATCTAGACTGAGTATGAAGACCTTGAGCAAGTAGTTCCCGAATACGATTAGATCCAATCATATCGGCTAAAGCATTATGTGCATCACGAATATGGGACTGACGGAAAGCACATAAGCCTAACTGAACCATGGCACGGTTATACAGGATCTAAAACAAAATGATAAACACTCTGCTACCAATATTGATTAAGAATTAATGTTTTGTTAAAATATACATACAGATAGAATATATTATTATGTACCGAAATACTGTAGGAAGAATAGACTAGAAATCTTAATGAGGACAATGGTTATGTTTTATCCTAATTATCAATAAGTTAAAGGAAGTGTAACTATTGAAAAAGTTCATCAGATTCTGCTTTTGTTATTAGGGATGATGAAATCGTGGAAAATAAATCAGAATTTATGGGATTATTCAATGTACCTTGAGGATAGGCCAAATAACGAATATGTTTTCATATGGAACAGTTCAGAACTCATCAACGTTTTAAAACAAATTGAGCAATTTTTTTCTGACCAGTAGACCTAGACGAATAATAATTTTAAACTGAACAGATCCCTTCTGGATCGATAGATTCTTCACAGTCTTATATTGATAGACTAAACTGTTGACCGGTATACTTGATACGGTGAACCCCAGTCAGAAGTCTTCAAATAATAATTCCATGCAATGGCTTTTTTCTCCAATGGAAAGATAAGTGAGTGTACATACAATCGAATTGGTTCAGTCAAATAAACTCCAGTTCTTAGTCTCCATCTTTACTCTCAAATAGCTAGATTCGCATATAGAAAGTGTGTATCATTATCAGTTTGCGAACACGGCGTGTCAGAAAAATAACCACCTTTTATATAGTAGTTATATGGAATAACAGAGTTCATTAGATAGTCGTGGCATAGGCTGTACACTTGAGATGAAAGATACTCAACATAACATCTGTACTAACGCCTGATTCAATTACAGAGTATCTTAAGCAGGCATGGTGACTGATATTCTTAAACAATTTTATCAACTAAATTACCTGTTCCACTGACAATACAAAACCCATAGTAAATGTAAATGTGAAGCACTTTAAAAAGAACTTACCATAGTTGACTGGTCAGCATGTTCAATTGACATTTGCAAATCAGACATAAGCATCAAGTCACGAGCTTTGAACCATTGATTATAAAGAGCTAAATGATAAATATGACAGAGAATAGCTCTGGTACGTAGTCTATCTGTTCGATCATTTAAATAAATATATTCGCAAAGTTTTTGAATAACTAAAGTGTTAGGATGAAGTCCAACTTCTTCCATACTGGAAGCTTCCACTTTACGACCCCATTCAAAATCAAACTGTAACAATAATAACAGCAAAATAGCATGCAATATTAACTACCGAGGCAGAAAAAATATACGGAACAGGAAACTAAATACATTACAAACAAAGTGTGAAATGAGCCTACTATAACTATATGAGAAACCAGCTCCTATAGTCTTGTTTCTTCCCTGTACTTCATTGGCGACTTGTCAACTAAATGCTTTACTAATGGTTAATAAACTTGTTCGCTGTCCGGTCACACTGAACTAGTCATTTTCATGTTTTCCTATGATGAGACGTCCTTGTTCTTATTGAGTTTATCATCTTGAATGAGAAGTCTTTTAACAAATGCTAATAATTACAAAATGTGGTCTATATATATAAATACATCACTTACGCCTGTTAACCCTTGTCGAGCAGCATAGACCGCCCACCAGTACTCTCCATCCAAACCTGTCCTGGGCGATCCTCTTCAGTTTTTTACAGTTGTTATTCATCCTTTTCATCCCTGCTTCTAATGCCCGACGTAATGTGTTCTTTGGCCTCACTCTTTTCCGATTTCCTTTAGGATTCCAAGTTAACGCTTGCCTCATGATGCAGTTCGGTGATTTCCTTAATGTATGTCCTATCCACTTCCAACGTCTTTTCTTAATTTCCTCTTCAGCTGGAGGCTAGGTTTTTTTTCTCACACAGTAGGCTGTTGCTGATTATATCCAGCCAACGAATATTGAGTATCTTGTGTAGACAACTGTCTATAAATACATGCGCCTTCTTGACGATGATGTAGTAGTTCTTCACGTTTCAGCTCCGTACAGTAGAACTTTCTTGATGTTCGCATTGAAGATTCTGACTTTGATATTGTTTGAAAGATGTTTTGAATTCCATATGTTCTTTGATTGCAGGAATTCGGCCCTTTCTTTGCCAATCCTCGCCTTTAGGTCTGTATCAGATTATCTGCGTACATCGATGATGCTTCCCAAGTACATGAAATATCCTAGATCTTCCAGAGTTTCCCCACCAAGTGTGATTGTGTTGGAGTTTTCCATGTTGTATTTGAGGATTTTACTTTTTCCTTTGTTTGTGTTGAGGCCTACTGATGCAGAGGCTTTTGGCACATTGGTTGTCTTCATCTGCATTTGCTCATGTGTATGGGATAGAAGGACTAGACCATCTGCGGAGTCCGAATCGTCCAGTCGCATCCAAATTCTCCAATTTATTCCGTGCCTCCCGTCAGATATCAAGGTCTTTATAATCCAGTCAACCACTAGATAAAAGAGGAAGCGGGAGAGGAAGCAGTCATGTCTGACTTCGGTCCTCACTATGAATGCATCTGTCACCTGTCCTACATGCACCACTTTGCACTGTAGTTCGTCGTACAAATTCCAGATGATTTCGACGATCTTCTCAGCTACTCACTCCATAGTGTCGAATAATTTTCCATGTTGTTCTCCTATCCACAGTCAAACGCCTTCTCATAGTCAAGGAATCCGGTTTTTTTATCTCGAATTTAGGAGTCTACTGAGTCTTTCATCAGGTTCAGCAACACTGTTGAAAACTTTTCTTGGGACTGAAAATAGTGTGATGCCTCTGTGGTTCTCACAATTGTTCAGATCGCCTTTGTTCGGTATCTTGATGAGATATCGTTCTACCTAGCCCGTCGGTACTTGTTCTTCCTCCAAGATCTTCTTGAATAGAATGTGGAGCATGTTTGCAGTTACTACTATGTATGAGTTCAGTGCTTCAGCTAATATGTTGTCAGGTGCTGCTGCTTTACCATTCTTGATTTGTCTGATGGCTATCTTGATTTCTTCGATCGTTGGTGCAGTGACATCTAGAGGAAGGTCTGCAGGTCCTGCTTCAATGTCCGGTGGATTATATATATATATATATATATATATATATATATATATATTCCAGAGGTCAAGGGAGTCCCTCTGACTTTATTCAACATACAGTGCCTTATACCAGTTTCTAGATTTACCGAAACAACGGACTCGAGAGAAAATTAAGTCAGAAAACTATTAGCAACTCTCGTAATATTTATAGATGAAAATATATGAATAGTAAGTGACTCTACAACAAATAAATGGTCTGTAGGTATCAATATCAAGGTTTGAGATAGGATAATTTCAAATGAATTAAGCATTGAAAAGAAAGTTAATGATAAAATAACGATACACTTGTGATATCACGTTGAGTAGGAATTTTAATTTCTGAAAACTCGCGATTTAATGTAACCCACTTCTTCAGAATGAATAAATGAATAACCGGATTAAATTAATACAAGTTTAAATAGTATAAGGGAAAATGGCGAAATATTCAATCCAGACAAAAACAAAAAATAATCCGTTTATGTTGAAGTCACATTGCAGATAGTAAACACAAAAGCAACAGCAGTCAAGTCACAACGCGTATCAGCGTAAAAACTACAGATTTAACATGGCCGAATATGTAATCAGCCAATAAGAAAACGGTTAGTTTGTCAACAGTTTGTTTAGCCAATAAAACACAAAGTGAACAAATTTTAGTTACTGATAAGTCGTATAGTTATAACACGCCGATTTAATACCATGAATCTAACACGAAGATAAACATAGACTAGATGAGAGCTTTATATAAGAGTTGCTAATCTACACTACAGATCATGTTAGTTAACAGCAATCGCCCAATGAATGTGTAAGTGTATTAAACAAAGTAACAGAAGGCAGTTTGAATCACAAAAGTTCAAATTTAACCTGTAGTAGTGAAAAAAAAACTTATCCTTACCTTATAGTACATGTGCTCCAGTTTATGAAGATAGGCAGCACAGAGTGCATCTGGAGGATATTCTTTCTTTTCCAGATAGGCACATAAACGATCAATAATATTACAGACTCTTCGTTCATCTCGAAGTCTATACAATTTAAAATACAAAGAAAGAAAATACTTAATTACCGATTCCAAAAATTTCAAGAGTAAGGAATAAAATTATATCACAAATACTTGAACACTAAATTGGATAAATATAGTTCGGAGTACTAATAGCAGGCAAATCGTATTACTTTATCACATTGTTGTGACAGTGAAGCTGTAGATTCAATTCATTATGTTACAATGGTCATTAAAATTAGCGTTTCAAGTTTTTTGACACAAGTTTATTCTCTGATATTTGTCAAGTCAACAATTTTTTGTATTTCCACTTTAAAATTAAGCTCGAAGAAAGCTAGGGGGAATCACGACATGGAATCAATTCATAAAGACATTGAGCGTTGGGTTGAGCTTTGTGTATACGGATCTAGAATACCCTGTCGTGGTCCACGTGATTATAGTAGCCAACGGTTGGAGACCTTGAATAACATGGTTCGGAATCGTTTGCAGTGATACAGGTTCATTCACTCTTTATCTGCCCCCTTAAGAACTATCTCCTTAAATCTATTTTTTATAATCTTTTCCACTACCACTGATATCGTTACTACTTCTATTACTTTGGGATTACTCATGATGATTAGATCTTCCTGTGCTAATATTGCATGAGGACATGTGTTAGATTCTATTTCCTACATGACTGTCTTGACTTAAACGGATGTAATTCATTATAAGAATTTGTCGAAGCTAACGCTGAGCCGCTAAATAATTCTGGTTTCATGAACTTTTTAAACTTAATATGATAATTCATAGCTTAGATATAGATAATAAGAATATGTATGATGCTTAAAATTAAACATTTTTAAAATAATCTGTTGTCAATAAAATAATATAATAAAATATTGTGAAACACTTCTCCTAGACTATTTCTGAATTTTAAAACTACCATTCAGAAATTTAATTAAATTCTATTTTGTTATAGTTTCTTCTTATTACGACCCAGCCATTCCTATTGCTTAGCATTCTTGGACATTAATTCACTCGACAAGTCCCCAAATCAGAACACGGTTGAACAGGAAGAAATTATATTCCGAATAAGAAGGGTAAATGGAAGTAAAAAGCACTATAAGAGATATGTTAGTATATTTATAGTTTTTACATGGGAAGATCCTAGAGTCTTCTCTAAGAATTGACTAGCGGTGATTGGATAAGAAATGGCCAATCAGCATGCACTAACACAATCGCGTACGGAGCATGCTTTACTCCAATCTATGTCCCGCTAACATATTTCTTCATCCAATTTGTACATGTTAATTTTAAATGGATATTAATCGATATAAGGAGAGGAAATCTTCATCGTCCTAGCTGGTGTTTAATGTGATGGCGAGGATTTTATTTAATCAGGGAGTGAGTGACCTACAAAAATGGTATTGTCCAGTCACGTTCGCGACAACTGATCATCAGTTTATGTTAACATTTTATATAAAGGGACACCAAGAAATGGTCTGAAAATATATACAAATACATTTATGTAATAAACTATATAGCCTGTCCCATAGGTATGAAAATCGGATTGACAGCGAGAATATCGAAGTAATTGAAAATAAGAAATACATTGGAAAAACAATCACTTGATATCATCAAATTAATTGAAAAAGCTGTGACTGGTGTAAATGAATACAGTACAATAAACATTTTCTAAGGTAATTGATAATTAACTTGAAATCATCACTTTTCTGAGAACTGTTGAAACGAAAGAAAATTGGATTACCTGTCAACATATTCCGACTCATGGCCGTTGGCATTTTGCAGAACTTTGAAACATTCAACATCTAAAAGACCCACCACAGTCAGAATAGATGCTTTGATACGGTACGGTTCATGCTATTATTTTTTTGGGGATTAAGAAAAATAATGACAATCGAATACATGTAATCAAATCATCTCAGAGTTTTCGTCACAGAATGAATATTTCATTCGGTACGACTAAAAACTTTATCTTAGTCTGAGTCACAAATTCGGAAACCATAACATTCATAGTTTTAAGCACTATATGGATTTTGATTTCAAGTAAAATTATATGATTTATATTTTTCCAATAACCAATTTCAGCTGTAGCTTGTGTGGAATCGACATTGTAGGGACTTGGATAGATATTCATTAGTATCAATGGATGATGATGGCAGTGTACAGAAAAGTAACTGTAGCTTAAAAATGTGGATCAGACTTTTAAATAGTGAGCTAAATCAGAGATGCCGTAAATCTTAAAGGTCCTCCATTTAGGCCCGGGTATGACAAATTGTTCGTTATTGAAAAGTCTCAAAGTATGACGAAGAAGTATAGTACTTCTTCGTTTTCGATGATTTCTTAGCTAGTGTCAGTGTACAATGATGGTCCACTGAGGTAAGAACGTTGGATTTTTAGCCAATAAGTCACCATTTCGAACACTGCTCCATCTACCTCGATTAGAACAACCAGGAAGTATCGCTAGCCCTACATTTAGAACGTAGCTCCAAGCCAAATATATGAATCTGTATCCAATAAATGACCTTGTAATAATTTTTTTATTTAAAATGACCTAACGACTAAAAAGTCAAATTCCCTCATTTACCTTGAGTAATACACTTAGCAATACTGTATTCCAATTTCTCATAAACTTACTCATCCTAAAATTCAGTAAGAGAATCTCTAAAGCAGAGCTACATCGAATAAAAAAAATTGTCGGCATAATTTTAACTGATTCAGTCAATGTTTCTAAAACGCAATTCAAAAGAGACCGGTCAGTTCATGACATGACGCATTGGCGTAAAAAATTATATATGTAACTTTTATCTATCAGTCCATCAAGACTTCTTGATTGGGGTCCCAGAAATTGTGAAACTTAGTGACTTGAGATTTAACAAGACAAGGCTCAGAATAGAAGCCAATGGTAATCCTGTTGTAATTTTTCTGTACTTTCTTAATAAAAGTGAGATAAATTTACCTGAACGAGAAAAGTCTTTCTTGGCTGTATTTTAAACCTGTAGGAAGTAATTACCTAGGTCGTTGAACACGGAGTCTTAGCTTGGCCAAAGTCAGAATAAGTAAGCTTTATGGTTTGATAACCTTCATCCGTTAAGAACAATAACTGCAGCACAGAAAAAAAGCGATTCAACAAAAATCAATATCGTTTATGACAAACATGGAAGATTGTGATCGGTGAATAAACAATGCATAGTCATACAAGGTCGAGCACAGTCAAGGTGGTAGTGGGCACAAAATTCTGCCATTATTAGTGGATTTGTTTATTGATCACCCCTTACAAAAATGGGCAATATTTTTTATTATATAATGATTGTTGTTAACATTACTTGATTTTTTATTTTCGGTAGTAATTCCCTTCTGTTTTTACCTTATTTCTTTACAATTTCATATCCTTATTTGTTTGGCGCATACTAGGTTCTGGTGAACGGTTGTACCAGTATTTATGTGTATTAAATAAATAAAATCTCAGAAAGAAAAATGACTTTCTTACTAGGACTTTAAAGTCAAGATGTTGCAAATACATTTAAACAAAATAAATCAAAACATACCTCAAATGATTCATCATCATTAGAATCCAATGCAATCAGTTGAATATTTATTTCATTTAACAGATCAAATAAACGATCGAATGCATTAAGAGTTCTAAAAATCAGATAAAGAGAGTTGGCAAGAAAAGTGGGCGTATATGAACACACAAGAAATGAAGAAGACTAGTTTGTCGAAATTACCGTATGTTAAATTCTCTCCCATTGTTTGTCCGCTCAATTAATGCCTTTTGCTCCTCTGAAAATGTATTAAATGCTCTAGCACCTGCAAGTGTATCTTACTCCACAAGTGAGATTATCGGAACTTTAAGTGTTTAACCTCTTACTTGCTATCATTGTTTTGTTGTTCCGTGCTCTTTGCTTTAATCTTACTTTCTCTAGTTGTAGATAATTATCAATAACTCGCTCTGGCACTAGAAATAACCTTACAGAACATCAGGCTATCCACTTAAGAAAAAATGACAAGTTCCCTGGTGTTGCATTGGCCTGCCATATATAAACTATTTATCAATTACTAAACCAGCAAACATAAAACTTTCAAATATTTCATGTTTGCTCTCTACATTAAATGTTGATTTTTATAACAATCTGATCATGCCTGTAAACTGGTGTGAATTCTGTAAATATTATTTTCAGAATATATTATTATTATTATTATTTAACCATCACAGATTTATAAACGGGGAGGGGGATCTATCTTTACAGAATGACGACATTCAATAATCGGCCCATGAATAACTTGAATTTGATTGATAGTCTATTGATGAAAGGAGTCCTTATAAATAACTCTCAAAATATTGCTAGTCAATAATTAAAAGATATTAAACTTATTGTGGAAAACAGCAAGTTAACAATAGGGTTAATCAGTTCTGTTCAAAATCCTACAAGAGGAAAATTCATAAGTTATAAATTGTGTTAAATTCACCATAATCTAGCTTGTTGATTTTGATACATCGGGTGAAAATGAGCTGTGATTAGTTAGTGGGCAGACAGACAAGAAATAAGTATACAGACTATTGTCAAAAGACGGATTTCACTGTATGGTGTTATACCTTACTTCGGATTTCCCAATGTGTTAATATATGGTTATTTCAGTGGCTAATCGGAATTGTGTATTTGTGTATCACACAATCTGGTATAGAAGTCTTGTAGAGCAAATCAATGGGCAAGAAGTACGATTATTTAGTGAAATTACAAAACGTTGGTGCATTATTTACACCTAGTTTTCAGTTATCCATTTGCACCTTGTTGTTTATTCTGTAATCTAAGTTGGTTTTAGACTGTCTTTTTCCCTTTGCTTCCGATCTAATTATTCTGCATACGTTGTGCTTTTCGATCTCCTAGAACTCTTCACTTCGGCCATCAACTATAGCAACCTCCACGCGCCTTTCCGCTGCATACTACTCATAACCAATCTTCTGAACATCCTTCACCGTAGTCTAATTGTCTAGTGCATCAAGTCGTAGTTTCCCGCATTGTGTATCGATCGAGTGACTAGTTTACTATCTAGTCTAGTGTTATTGTATTACCGTATTACACAATAGATTTTCAGGCGAAATAATCTTTAGTAACAAATTTCTAGTATCAATACTTTTTAAAAGTAGAAGTAGAAGGTTTTTAACGTATTTGGATTTGACCCTATATCATTCATCTATTTTGCTGTGAGCAGCTGGATGGTGACAAATCATGAACTTTCACAAAATGCGCGGATGACAGAGCTGAATAAATTAGCTTGTACTTAATAATTAATTTACAGTTGTATTATAAATCCACAAAACCTATTCAAATAGCGTTTTTGTCTTATTGTTATAACAAAAAAAGATTGAAACTATACCGGTCGAATAAGTTGGAGTTCATACAATCATGCTTTTTGTCATAATCGAACAGTACGCTAATAAAAGCGAATAGAACCTTAACGTGTAACCCACGAGATAGATCACACTCCTCTGCAAAGAAAGAAGAAATAAAATAGGGGGGAAAGTAGTTTTAACATGAGAAAAAGACAAAGACAACAATCTAAGTGTTAAATTTAAATAAACTAAACATTAAGTGCAATATTGTGTGAGAGAGAGTTTGTATGCTGGAAGAAAATTAGATTATTATTATTATTATCATTATTATTGGCTTTATTCAATATTATAATCTGGTACAATATAGAATTCTCAGCACGAGTTATTTCAACAAGTTTTTTACCAAAAAAAACAAGAAAAACAAAAAAAAAACAGAAAAGGAATGAAAAAGGTTTAAGAAAAAAAACTGAGTTTATACAAATTATCAAAATTGAAACATGCTTAAGAAGACAGGTTATTTACTACGTCAACTCTAACAGCCTGTTCGTCACAAAGTAAATTTGCTAAGTAAGGTATAACAGAACTTTTATAGACTTGCTTGCGTGTATGGATTTTAATGTATTTACGTCTCGTTCTACCAGAAGATATACAAGGAGAAAGATATGAATGAAGGGGATGGTTAGTATCTGATAAGATAACACCTGCCAAGAGTTTGCAAGACTTAAGATGTCTATCCACAAGCATATTAATAATGACTTCAAAAGATTCACCACATACCTTGCAAACCGCCTGCAGCACTCTACGCAAAACAGCAAAGTCTTTTCTCAAAAGCCCAGGAAAGAATAATGGAGAACAATATAAAATAATAGGTAATATGCAGGAATTTACAAATTGTAAGAGTAAATGGCAAGTAGATGAAACTCACTACCTGTTGTTTTTGAGAAGAAATACATGGTGAAAAAACAACCTATCTAAAAACTTACTAATTTTTTCTTCAACTTGCATAAGTAACACAATTTGATCACTGGTACTTGCACCTTTTTTACCACGACTTGCAAAAATTTCTGTCATTTTCTTAACTACGACATCAAAATTAATTTCTTGTCCTTTTTCGAAGGCTTGAACTTGAATTTCCGGTCGTCCGTAAGAATCAATTGTAGTCCATGTTCCATCCTCTATATCAGATGAAGCTCTTAATTGTTTTTTAGTTGATCGACCTTTTGCAATTTTCTTAATTTTTGTTTTATCCTAAAAAAAAGAAGCAGAATAATTCTTAGAATATCAGTGATGTGATACAATTCAACAGGATAATCACAAATTAAAATAAAAAATTAGGTTTGAAACAAACATTTCCGTGATTTCAGTCACTTTATTACCGAATTGGCTGATACAATTAATTCCACTTTTAAAATGTCGAACTAAATAAACACCTACAAGTTGTTTTCATTTACCACGGGTGTAACTAATCAAACTTATGGTGGTTCAGTTAATAATGACATTAAGTAACATTGAGTTATTCACTACAACAGTACTATTGGAAAGAGTATGTTCTTCAGAAGAAAAACGTTCTTAAATTAACAGTTATTAGAGTTTGTAATGCTATGCCAGTGTTTATGATCAATGGCCTACTTGATTATGTGTTAGAATACGTAGTGACCTAAAGAATATTACCAAGTTTGTTCATAAGTATATTTTGCTTGATTCACACTTCGGACGATCACAATGCACGCATATTAGTTGCCAAACAAATGAACACTTGATATATGTATTGCGCGCTAACATGGCTTTCTATGATCACATCGTCTATGATCCTTTGAGATCAAATTAATTTGCATAAGCAAGACCATTACACGTAATTCCAGTAACTTATGAATCTTACAAATCACATTAAAAACCAAAACTCCGATACAATAAACATGATGGATGTATCAAAAGGGTACTTAAAAATATCTACTTTGTACCTCCATCGTACCTTTTTATCATCCGAAGTACTTTTTAAAAAGTATACCGAAGGATCTTTACAACGATCCAAATTTATATCAATGCTGCTAGTACTTGAACTATCATCGTCATCAGAAAAGTCATCACTGTCACTATCACCCATATCATCGTCATCATCCTCTGAATCAGATGCAATCGACTTTCGTGTTGATTTCTTGACAGTGGAAGTAGGTAAAGTTCCAGAAACCTAGTAAAGGGAAAATGATAGTAGTAAATAAAACAAGAAAATAGGCAACAATAAATGGGTGTAAACGATTAAGTTTTAATCCATATAGAGGCTTTATACACGATTATATGACAACACTATCCCCAGCCAATATTAAGTAAAACTAAGAATCAATTACTTAGGAACTTGAACTTTAATCAATCTAAATCAAGGCTGAACATTTACTCAGTCAATTGAAACGTTAAATCTGGTACGCATGTACACCGATTCAAGTTGCCAGATCTCGTTAGAACGGTGGAATGAAATCATCAGGCCGAATTCTAGAGTAGTATAGATGGTAACAGTATCAGTGATAATAGAAAATACTAGGCATCAAAAATACAATTCCAGAAGAAAACATAAATTAGTGAAACAATGACTTCATAGACTGGTTCGACTGTCCCTAGTTTTCTTCTAGTCCACTCCTTCATTATTATGTACCTAGTTCGGTTTAGGTGGATGAATATGCTAATCCACTAAACAGAAAATTGGGATTGATAGCATAGCAAATAAATTTGCACATCCATTTCCTGACTAACCTAATCCGACCTCAGTGCTTAGAACACTGAATCATAGGTTTACAATGATAGTTTAAAAGAAACTGAAAATATACTTGCCTTTATCGGTGAAGGAGCTGCTTCCTGTTCATCAGCTTCGACATCTGAAGCGTAAAAATAAATAAACTAGGTCAAGAAAGGATGAAAATACCAGAAATTCCAGGTTCTTCATCTACATAGTTTTCTGAATTCTGAACATATATAGCATGAGTTTTATGATAAATAAGCCTACTTCACGAAAGTCGCGAATATTTGCTTCAAATAGTCGTGTATATTTCTTTACACGTTGTTTTAACGTCGCAAGCGATTTAACTGCACCCTTATTCATTTCTTTTTTCTTTTCCCATGAATCGTTAACAAAATCTTCAAGCTCTGCTATACAGCGAACATAAAACGGTGGCACTCCATCGAAATCATTCATTTGAACAGATTTCTCGTACACTTTTACCAAGTTTTGAAAATCTGTATTCATTTAGATGAAAAAGCGTTTAAATATAGAATTTTTTATGTACCAATGATTATATTTGACATATCCTTAATTTTCTTATGATTGTTCAGGTTCTTTATTATACTTTGCATTTCTTCACATCTGTGAATTGGTTCACATTAAAAACAACTAATATATTGACATACCGTTTATTCCGACCACTTTTGACAATACGTTTAATATCTTCTTCATCACTAGACAGATGTAAAGGGCGTGATTCGATACGTCTAACTGGCTCCTCTTCCCGATCACTATCGGAAGAACTGAATATATCTGCATACATTCTGCAAACTACATACATAGAAGGTAAAAAAATAGTATAAATAATTTGACTAAGTAATAAGTTAGTGAGTAAAATTCGAACAGAATAAAACCAAAACCCAATAATCCAGTCCAGTATCATGTATAATGTTGAGTTACACCTATTGTCACTAGTTCGCAGGCTAACCAACACAAAATAAAATGTGAGTCTTACTAAAATACTATCCGAAATCCTACAAAGTGCTAGGGGTCGATACTAAGTTATTGTAAACGAATTTAACGCACAGTTATTTAAGCTAACAAAAGCACAAGAACTTGGGTGGAGCTTTTACCATTCAAGCCCAACAAACACAACGATTACATTCTAAAGCTATGCCCAGGAAACCGTTAATTTTTAATAAGTACTGACCTCAGGTACAAAGAAAGCCATTTGACCCGGGGATTTCTAGCACCTAGATAAAGGGGGGTATAAGCCACAGTGCTATCAGCCCTTGATGAACGTAGTCAAGAAAAAACCGTCGTTGCTCCTTGACCTCAACTCTATAATCGGCTCGGTTCACCTTTGGATCAAAGATTATATCAACTTGTTGGAGGTTCTGTATTCAAACACTTTTGGTTAGGTCAGATCATATGGTAAATCGACATTTGAGTTGGTTTTGTCGGCTGTTCGTCGTGGTCTTATCATTATCTATATTTTCAGTTGATAGTTAACATAGAGATCCTCCTTCTTACTCTTAGAGCCTGCTTTCAAACTATCGAAAAATGACAGTATTGTTTAATGAAGCTGAAAAACTGCATTTAAACCCAAAACTGACTAAATAACAATGTTCGAAATCCGTCCAAATGAAAAAAGTAAATCTAGTAAAGTGACTTTATACTGATTTCACAAAAGGGATCAAAAAGTTAAGGGTGTTACCCTACGTATGTCATGAAAGTATAATCAGCCCTGGTAAGCTAGTGGCAGGCTAAATGTCAGAAAAAACACAGAAACTTCGTTCAAAATTTGTAGACTTTTGTAACCTGTGGGGCAGGTAAAACTGTCGACCGGCCATAAAAAGATGAGTTCAGTGTGCAACAACTCGTTTTGTAGTCTATAACTAAAATAAAGGCGGTTAAAATGGGAAATGTGTGAATTTCTGTATTTCATTGTAGAAAATGTTGAAGTACTAATAGCGAATTGTGGAACCTTCAAGAGAATAACCATGGGGTTAATATAAGGTGCAAAGTAGAGGCGATAAATCGGTTATTCGCCAAGGCTATGCAGACAAGAACTACACGTTTAGCCACCGTCTGATAAGATGCACAAAGTTAGCTGACAAAGGGATGAGTAGATCACTGTTTCAAATTATTTTACATAGTCACTTGGTTCTAGTATGAAGCATCAACATGTTTAAAATTAGGATTTGCACGTTAATCATAATTTATTTTTGAATACATTTAGTAGACCGGTACCAAAGCCAGTAGCAAAGATTCAGTTATGTTTACCTTTTATCTTTTTTTAAGCTCAACTACTTCTTGGTTTTCCAATGTCATTTTAATTTCTACCACTTTATTTTTAATCTCATCAGTTTTTTCTCAGTGCGATATAGTATGCCGGATTGTACTGATATACTGGTATCAGGCTACACGTTGCCTTTGACAGAATAAATATTCAGAAATATTTTGGATTCTGATAGCTGGAATTTAACTACTTAGACTACTGGGGTTATTCTAAAGGGATTATAGAAAACAAGGAGCTACGACATGGATTAAAGTAGGACTGAACTCCTGTAACTTAATAACAAATCAGTCTTATTGAGAGCACCAATCGACAAAGTTGGATAATAGTTGTCTAATTAATCATGCTTTTAGTACAGTATTCGAATATTTATTAACCTTTCTACGTTATAGATTATTTGTTATTGGTATTAGATTATTTCACATGGAAAGCTTATGATATCGTCCCCGAATGCCCTAGTACAGCTGAGGGTGAGGAAAGGCATCTCTACCTCTCGAAATGCTCCCACACGGCCACATGTGTACAACTACTGAAGGAGAAGTTCTACTCACTGTCTTCTTGTAGCGGGGGTGTTCTTCAACGAAATTGAGAAATGGAAAAGTGAATGTTCATTGCTTTATCCGGATTGGTGGATATGGAGGATTCACCGAGGGGAGTTCAGTCAGTGGGCTACAGCGTAGGACCAGGCACACATATGCATCGGTTCAAGTTACCATACCTCGTTAGCACAACATGATGAACACCAAATTCATAGTAGTTATTTCAATGGTGGTAATATGTAAAAGAAAGGTTGTATATAAGGATACAGTGCGTGAAGAAAAACAGATATGAAGCAATTTAATCTCACGGTTTAAGGGAAGACAAAGAGTGTATACGCCATTGTGATCGATTCTGAGCCATGTCACCTAGAGTCTCCAATCATTGGTTAAGATAGTCGCACAGACCCCAACCAATTAGTCTGCACCTACCAACATAGCTCAGACCAAAAGTTAGTGACTTCAAGGACTGATGCCATGTTTTGGTTTGGCCACCCCTAACTTTCTCCAAACCGTTTCCGACACAAGTCAGCATTGTGCACCGTGGTAGTCGATGGTTGGGCATGCGTGGCACGTGATCCAATCATCACAGTCAACGTAGATTCACAACCTTATCAACTGATCTAGCATTATTCTCTAATACCCTGTGTCTAAGCACACCATTACTTACCCAGTGATCTCAGCAGATGCGGGCAATATTTCTAAGACATCTGTGATTGAACACTAGTAATTTACGAGTATCTTCTACTCTTAATAGCCACGTTTCGCAGCCGCAAAGTAGAATTAAACGAACTGCTGCTCAGTACATTTGTTGTTTAATCGGTAGATGGATATCTCGCCTTCGCCATAGGTGACGTAAGTTGACAAAAGCTAAACGAGGCTTTTAAATCCGTAAAGGGATTTCGTCAGACACCAACCCATTGGGGCTGGTTAGACCTCTTAGATAAGTGAAGTTGTCGACGTGTTCGACTACTTCACTCCCCATCCTAAGTTCAGGTGCTGACGTAGGTCAGTCCTGAAACAACGATTCGCACTTAGAGGGGGGGTGAAACACATCTTAAACATCTTTGCACTGTTACTCAGTTCTACGAAAAGACTGCATTTTATCAACGTCTTCACCAAACAGGACTATGTCGTCTGCGTTTTCCAAGTCAATAAGTGGACCTCCTGGAAGATCAATTTCTGAAAATTCAATCGACGAGATGGTTATTTCCAGCAGTAGGTCTATGATGAAATTGAACAAAAATGTATATAGTGGACAGCCTTGCAGGGCAAAACTTGAGGTTGCAAAATCAGATGACAGTTCTCCATAAGCCCTGACTCAATTGGTAGTGTTTGAGTAAAGAGGCTTCACAATGTCCATCGTTGGTTTGGTGCAGGTGGTCGACATGTTAGATTATGCCTCTCCTTATGCTTAAAATTAGTACTGGCTAAAAATAAATGATTGTCTGAGCACAGTTGCAACGGATGATCACCGTGCGCGACCGGCCTCAAGTAATTGTCCCTTGGGCCCTGCGGTCACGCTCCCAGGTCATTGAGACCAACAATAATCCAACTTCCTTTTCAGGTGTGGTCAGCCGGGAAGTTATATCAGCCCTCATACCTGTAACTACACACCAGGTCAAATTGGCCACATTCAAATCCTTCCTACACCTCCTAATAACTCTCTTATATCCAAAACTAACCCTTCTCACGTTCCTTTATCGCCTCGCAAAGCTAGGGCAAACGATTCGAGTACACGGAACGTTATTCCTGGTTCCCTGAATTTATTATTTATTTATTTAAACACATAAATATTGGTACAAGGAAGCACCAGATAAATATGCGCCTCACAAATCTCATTCCATTTGCTTGAGGGCTGTGATACTGCCCAGGTGCCCAAACTGAAGCAGGTGGTTTTCTTAGGGGCCCACACCCGGAGCCTTTGACCGAAAGATCTGATCCACAAGGCAGTAGAGCATCGTGAGGAGATGCAGTCCCATGGTAGCCGGTGATCAACGATTGATTCGTACGCCATTTGTTCCATCAGGATACTGGAGCCCATGTGCACCATTGGTTTGGAATCAGGGTTTTCCAACTCCCCTAGGTGAACCCTCAGTGTCCACCAACCCGGTTAAAGCGCCGGACATTCGCTTTTCGTCCTCTCACTTTCATAAACAACACCCCCGCCATGAGAAGGCAGTGAGTAGGACATCTCTGGCAGAGGCTATATATTCGCTGGCCATGTGAGAGCATTTCGAGAGGGAGAGCGTACTCTCCCCACTCTCGGCCGTACCAGGGCATTTGGGGGGTTCCCTGAAACCACGCTCTAAACTACGTGTAGGAGCTTTTAACGTCTGAACACAGACTTCCTTAGCTAGGACTTTAGAATCTCGCACTATCGATGTGTGCTGCGTCTTCGAAACGCGCTTATAGGATCTCAGTAGCGTCATTCATTTGACCTCACCATGTCAGAATAAGGAACCAACTCGATTCACGCGTTGTGTATCTGGAAGCCCTGATGCTGCTCTCCATGACCTCGCTGGCGTAGGTATAGCATTGAGCCCTCGGGCAGAACTAGCTCTTTCAGACTGGATCCCAGTAGACAGTCATTTGTGCGCTGTCCGACTAAACGGAACAGTAAAGACTCGGAAAAATAGACACTCGTTGCCTCTTCGTCGTCTCTGCGTACTCTACTACTGACTGAAGCTCATATGATGTAAAAGATGAGTTTCACAGAAAGCTTTCCGACCTTCTCTTAGAAGCTAGGCGCTCTGATGTAGTAAGTGTGGCTGACGACTTTAGTGCTCAAGTAGGTAAACTAAGCGAAAGGGAAAGACACCTGGGTAGATATTATGGTGTCATGGCTCAAAGAACAGATAATGGTGACAGTCTGTTGCAGCTATGCTCAGATAATCGCCTATTTCTTGCATATACTAACTTCAAGCACAAGGAAAAACATGCTTTTATATGGTGACCACCAAATTCGTTCCAGTGTTGAACCCAAATAGATCACATCACTATCAGCCACCGATGGAGGGGCTCGAATAAAAGACTGTCGCCTATTCTGGAGCACATGCTTAGATGCCCCCAAATGCCAAAGTACGACCAAGAGTGGGGAGGACCCGCCCTCTCGAAATGCTCTCACACAGCCACACGTATATAGCCTCTGCCAGGGAAGTCCTACTCAATGCCTTCTCACAGTGGCATTACTGTTGTGTTACGAAATTGAGAGTACGAAAAGCGAGTATCCGGCGCTTTAACCAGACCGGTGGAGACGGAGAGTCTACCTAGGGAAGTTGGAAAACCCTGATTCAAAACTAATGGTGCACATGGGCTCCAGTATCCTGAGGGTACAAATGGCGTATGAATCAATCGTTGGTCACCAGCTACCATGGGACCGCATTTCCAAAGACTCCGGGTGTGATGCCTTAAGAAAACCACTTGCTTCGGTCTGAGCACTCGAGCAGTATCTCAGACCTCACACGAGTCGAATGATTTATGTGGCGCATATCTATTTGGTGCTTCCGAGTATCAATGTTTATGTTTTTAAATAAATAAATACCGACGTCTCGGACGGTAGGTAGTTTTTTTGAAAAGCAGTTAAACTGGTCTCTCTACATTGTTTCATTCAAGCAGTGGAGTTGGACAGGGTTGCACAATCTCACCGTTCCTCCTCAACTTTGCTATCAACGACATTCTGGAAACAGCTCTGATGGATATAAGTAATGGCGAAACTGATATGTTGCCGGTAGAAAGAATTCTCGATCTTTAGCATACGGATGATATTGTCTCACTGTGCGATGATACCCAAGCGATGCAATCCGCACTTAATCAGTTGGCAATTAGTGTCCGTAGGTAGGGTATGAGCTTTGTACCTTCACAGTGTGAAGTACTTCTACAAGACTGTCAGGACCCTGATCCTGCACTAACCCTGGGTAGTGAGCAAATAGGAGTAATTGAGAAGTTCGTGTATATGGATATTTGCGTAAGTGCTGGTGACAGCGTGAGTGATGAGATCAATTCACGTATAGTGAAAGCCAGAGAGGATTACGCTAATCTGGGCGATCTTTGGCGCTTTCGTGGTTAGTCTAGCTCTCCAGAGCTTCCACGCTTTCAATGGTGATCTAGCTTAGATTGGATCGTGAATTCAACTTTCAAACTATGTAAAAAGGTGTTTTTTAAGCTACTTTTTGACTAATTCTAGCTTGCACTAGTGAAACCTGATAAAATATTATTGGAATCGTTCTTAGTTTACTTATCAGCACTTTGAAAAAATAGAGGTTTTGGTAATGTTTCAGGATTAGAAGACAAAGTGAGTATGTATATGCCATATTCAGATTTGTGTGGTGAGGACAGAAGGCCTACAGTCTGTGTTATTCCTTTTCTAGTATACTTCCGTGAGTGTCTAGTCTTCTCTTGAATAAGTCAATTGAAAGTGCTGACACCACTGCTGAGGGTAACACGTTCCAAGAACTGATGATCAAGATTCAGTTTTGTTTCTGCCATTACGGGCTCTATCTAGGGAGCACACCCCTTCTTGTGCGTTTGAGCAGCCAGTGATTTCATGAACTGATTTTACCTCATGGTTAAACCAGTTTCAGCTTTTTTTTGTTTTATGGCAATAAAACACTACGCTAAGTTTGGAGCATTTATGAGTTTAATAAACAGGATGGGCAAGAGTAACCTAGAAAACACATCAGACAAAATGAGATACATTCCTTGTTAGTCTTCGGTGGAAATTTATTGCTATGAAATCCCACACATCGAGATTTACTCAATGTGGTTTCTTCTGGGGATATGGTATTTAAAATTACATACAACAAGGCTAATAACAGACTGCTCGTAGGCAGAAAGCGGTTGCCGTTAACTGATAGTCAAGTAAGTTACCTGGAAGGACTAAAAACATAAACTCCACTGGTAAATAATGATATAGGCAAGCTGTTTGTAAAATGATACCTGTGACTAGAGTTAACCGAATACCAATGTTACTTTTGCAGCCTGAATATGGTCAATTTGACAATTTACTATGCTCTAATCATTGTGTTATGGTGATTCGCTCTTTGGGCTATAAAATCCTAACGGAATTCGGTATTAAAGTCTATGAGAGTTCACCACGAGATAAAGTACAAAAGTATATGAAGCAATACGTCTTCAAAAGTAATTCACTACAAGCAACTGACTGATGAAATCTTGTTACATCAAACTAATGATCGCAGGCCTTTGATCATTTAATACCAAAATCTACCTCGTGGATGTGCCGCAAAAACCAAAAGTGGTTAGTCAACTCTCTCAATGTCCAATGCTATTACGATCCGAATCACTTGACTCAATCTCCATCTGGTGCTTTTGCTAAACAATACAGCATTTATGCGAGAAGAAAGTTGTAATACGAATCCACATTTTGTTTTACTGCAATAAATCTACTGCATGTTTCATTGAGACTGAAGACTGAGTGCTTCTTTGAAACTCTAACAGTTGCACCCTCTATTTTGTACCTCTCACCCTTTGATTTTTGAGCACTCTTGCAACTGATTTAGATTTGATGGTTCTGGCCTGCTTGAAAAGCATTTCCCAATCGTCTCAAGTGTTTTGTCATTTATTATTACTATTTCAATTTATCCTCCAATCAGCCCTTAGAAATACTACTAGATAAGTGGATTATTTATCCAATTCCAATAAGTTTGAAATGACCAGTTAATAGTGACGTGCATATTCAATGATTTTCTTAATGACAAACTAAAGACGACATTTTTTAATTGCGATACTGTGGGGAGTAGTGTAACGTCGTGTACTATATTACACCTACATAGCTTATTCTAGTTTCTGGACAAGCCAATTCACCTGTAACGTTATGAGTCATATTCTGATCTTGTTAATTATTCCCTTACTGACCTTGACTATTTTTTATATGAGCGTATGTGTATGCACACTTCTTATCCTACCTATCACATGTCTGTCATTCATTTTAGCCTGACTATAGATGTTGATTAGTGCTTGCTTATAACGAGTTGGCTTCCCAGCCATCTCCACTCTGCGTCATCTTTCCTTCGCTTGCTTACATTTGCTAATGTGCTCACTGCCTTCTAGCCCATGTTATTTATCAATAAAAATGTAGTTGCTGCTTCCCTTTGTCTTCTGATATTATACACCGTTCAGATTGTTATAAAAACGGTTATCAAGACGATCGATTAACGAAGCACTACACTACAATACTTTATCTGCAATCACATTTATATTCAATATCTATTGTTTCTCTGTGTGTTGTAGAATCGAAAACAAACTTTTCGCTTTACTTATTCGCACATTGCCGCTGTTAGTGAAATAAATGCTATAACTGTCGCCTTTTCTACTTTATCGGCCTAAGGTCGAGGATTATAATAGTGTCACAACATCCTTTTCATGCCATTCTACACTATGTTGGAGTTTTGGCTCTGATTATCATTGAATATTGCTATCGGATATGGTCCTTCTCATCACGCCTTTGGTGCCTTCGTGTACAGAGAGACCTTCGTTAATCTAGTAAACTCATTTGTGGTTGTCATCCTAAAAAATGCTTACAAGTCACATTCATTTGATAACAGTTGTCATCGTTTTTTATTCAATATATTGTTTTATTGTGAGTGCTGTTTGCTAACTCTCCGTTTTACTCAGAAACAGACACTTCGGTTTGTATTGTGAATAATCCAATCACATAGTTACATCTTGAATAAGCTCCTTTAATGGGACCCACCTTGGGCTGGTTCAAGACAGTTTGTTTGATATTTCTCGTATCTTGTTGTAACAAATAGTCCCAGACATTCATTTACTTTCATTCACTCGGCCAAAGTGTCGTTATCTATTGACTGAGTATTTCAATGTTAGTTTGTTCTGAAGTTAAATGGCCAAGCTTATCTAAAGAGAGACTGTTGAAACTGCCAGCTGTCGCTTCACTGAACAAGAACTTAATTACAACCAGGTTTCAGGTCGTATGACCAGCATAAGACTAAGGAATGTGAAAAAAGTGTTCAGGAGGGCTGAAGCTACTAGATATATCGAAATGCGTAAAGTCTTATGACAAGCGTAAGAAAGGAACTGTAGCTGTGGTATGACATTACTTAAGCCTGTCCCTCCTCATGGAGCATACGCTGCGATCAGACTTCTCCAACCGACTTTCCTCTCCAAATATTGCCAAATACTATTCATTCTTTTGATGTCTGCTTCCGATTCCTGGAGCAGCATATTTTTAATCTGCCTATTTTTCCTCCTTCTTTGAGGATTCTAAGCTCAGGTGTGCTTTTGGATTCACTGTGATGACTTCCGCAACGATTGTCACATCCACCCAAAGCGTCTTTTCCTAACTTCCTCTTCAGCCGGAAGATCAACTGTTCTTTACCACCCTATCAAATGTCTTCTCATAATCAAGTAAGTCGGCGTATAGTGATGAGTTCCATTTGACTTATCGTTCAAAATTGTCCCTAAGTGTCGTGACAGAGCTGATACATAGCTGATCATTTTGAAGCCCGGACCGCTAATCTCAATGTTTGGAGTCTACTCAATCGTTCATGCTACTCAACCACATGCCCTTGAACACTTTTTCTGGTCTGTGTGTGCTGCTTCGATGTGCTGTGAGTTTGGGGAGGTTGATCAATTCAAGGATTCTTCAAATCACTCTACCTATAAGTCTCGCTGTTTTTGAATCTCAGTGATTTACTTGCCTTCTTTGTTCTTCACTGATGGTCCTGATTTACCTGCTAGGTTCTTCGTTGTAGTGTGTATCTGTTCCATATTTCCTCCTCTCGTAGTTTCCTCTCTCTGGGGCCCTGCCAGAGTTACTGCCGTTTCTGACCACAGATAAAGGACAAGGGTTAATGGTGGAGTTAATAACACTATCCCGTTGAAAACAGCCTTGTTAAAAAAAATGTGAATGAGAAAAGGTTACATAAATGACTTAAACTTTGTCCTGGGAGTTGTGACGCCTCGTAATGAAATACTAGATTCTTCAGAAATCACGAGGCCAATGCCCCTCCCAACATCCAGAACAGCAACTAACACAGGTACATGGAATGTCCGTGAAGATACGACTAGTTTTCCAGTTTAACAACTATCAACCAGTAGCACCTATATTCGAAGCTTTCCCCAACCGAATGAAATCCGAAGTCAGATGTGAAGAGATGTGAAGAGATCGAAAAGATATATTTGATGCGTCATTAATATATCGAGAAGCGTTGCTGTAATCTGGCTAGCGAACGTAGGAGCTGTGTCCCACGCTGGTTCGAGACGTGATTTGGTACGGATGCATGACCGAAAACCTTCAGTTAAACAAGTCCATTTAAACAACGTGCTCAGCCTCCAATGTCGAACATTTAGAAAGCTATTGATAACAGTTGGTGGAAACAGTAAACTGAAACGTCGGGAGGGGTAGACGAACGTTAGAAACTTAAACCGACTGAGTATTACCACGAGCTTTGGAAGTGTAAAACCTTTTCACCCGGTCTAGATGTTTTCTCGGCTAGTTCATTCGTAGGTTGTATCACATTAAGATTATTTTATCATGTTGTACATCGGTTATGTTCTACTACCGAGAGGTAGATCCGGAAGGCAATTTATCAGTAAATATATCCATCGGGACTTCCTTATCTATGTGTGTCACACATACAATCCCTAAACCCCGGGACCATAATCCCATTTACTTTCAGTTCGGAAATTTTTCACATTCTACAGTACCAATCCACCAAAAATAAATTGCTCCGAAATATAAAAATTGCAAAGATGCCACAAGTATTCGAAGTTCGACGACACCTTAACTAGTAACACTGTTATAATCGAAGTATGCCAACCCAGCCAAATCAATAGTCGGGAACGAAGGAGTTTGAAGATATATATGGGTAACTATCGATATGTTGAAGGAACGTTAGGTCTAAGCTAGTTGTAGTTGAAAGTGATGAATAGCCCGACGTACCCACCCGTAATCTGGCGTGAATGTGTGACCGAGAGCCTCCAGCTAGATTTACACATTGAAACTAATCTGTTCAGCATTAAATGTCGAGCACTTACAGAGCTATATATTTTTGGGGATTTATTTACCGCTATAATAATGATAACATCTACCAGTTACGTACAGCAGATCCTCCCCAAGCTAACACGAATGCGAATATCTTTAACCCAAATTAAGAGTTTTACTATCAAAACCATTATATAAATGACTGTACACTTCATAACCAGCCTGTACAAGATTTTTTGAAATACAGCCTCAGGTGGCCCCTCTAGTGAGGCATCGATCAAAAGTCATTTCAAACCATATGCGAAATACGAACCCGCTCCTCCTGTAAGATTTTAATTACACAGTATTCCCCTCCCTCACCCTTGGTTAAATCTTTCGAGCAGCTTCACCAGCTAATTTGATTTATCCCTCTCTAACACTTATCAAAATAACGAGCCACTAAAGGACATTACATTCTTCAAAATAAACCAATTACACACCCCCCTGAGGGTAATAGTAACTCGTTTAACCGGGATTATACCACACACTTTAAAGTAGTGAAACATTTGTTAAATATGTCTTATCAACACTCGGTCTGTAATGAAAATACAGATCTAGATTTGTTTTCTTCCCGTCGTCAACCATCAGTTATGTCTTCTGGAGCATGAAATACCAATAATACTTTCGACCTAAGTATATCTCTTGATAAATATTTCCGATACTGAACTGACCGGTTACAAGGACAAAGCGGAGGCTGCCTTATATTTGCTCATTCCAGGTTAAACTCACTATTTTATGATATACTAGAATTTGACACACTGTAGGATTCAGTGTAGATTATTCTGAAACCGTCAAATTTAGCTTCCTCACTGCTCGGCTGTGTTTACCGACAATCTAACACATTAACAGGGGAAATGACAATGTTATCGGTGGTGTTCACTGCAGAC